GTAAACAGTTTGCATTCACTCACGATGAAAGAAGAAGCAGAAGGAAATTTCATTTTTGAGGATATCTTAAAATTTTCAAGAACATCTGGTTCTGGTTAAGAAAATGGTTAATGAACTGGTTAATGAACTTCAAGATTTTCTAGGACATGTGGGAACACAACAACTATATATACAGTTCTGGCTAAAAGTGGTTTTCGACATGCAACTTTTTCTGACATGGTAATAAGCAGCCAAACAGAGCTCAAAGTGCAAAATACATTAAATCAAATATTAAAACAAATGTCGGCAGTGGCAGGACTGCAGGCAATAGTGAAAATATTAGAGATTTCCAGAAGAAGCAAGTGGAAATGTAAATTGATTATATTAAACTGCATTGTAAAAGCTTTGTTGAAGTAATCATGCAACACCGCCACACAGACATCTGACTTTCTACTGCAGCTGGAAAGCAATCCCAATTACACAATGTCTCATTAAAAACTATACTCAAAGAAGTACACTGCAAAGAAGCGATGTATGGCCCTGACAGAGTACAAAAGATAACATCTCCAAGTGTGTTCTAAACAAACCTGCTATGACTCCTAAAAAAACATTTGTTTTGAAGAGGCAGGAGCGATGCTGATCCATATTTACATTAAATAAACATATTTGTTTATTAATAAACAAGAATATCTTTTGATAATTTATGTACCAGTTGAAAAGTAACTAAAAGCAATAAACACTATTTCCGGGAGGTTTGTTATTATAGCTCTATCAAAATTTAGACATAAACTTAAGACACTAGGACTACACCCAGCACTATTTATTAACAAATCATACCTATCGATATTATTTGTTTTTCATCAACGAACTCAAATTTCAAGTGAAGTAAATATACTATCAACTCAAATTGGACAGTGCACAAACGTAAAACGTAAAACACAATTATACTGTGTAAATTTAAAAGAAAACAACAACGACCGTAGCACTTGCTTCGTAAACAGCCTACGTTCCGCACAAATTTTGACCGGATTAAAAACAAGCTAGGCCCGTCCTGTCGTCAAGAAGAAACAACTGTTTATGTAGCATACCATGCAGCTGCTTACAAATAAACCGAAACGCATAGGATTTGGCCTGTATATTTTACATTACTCACTCAGGTAAATAAGTAGAAGAATATGAGCTCCATTTATAAACGCTGAAAGTAAGAACTCTGCCCTCAGAAACGACCGCCATCTTGTTTTAGAAAACATCAGGCAATGGGAAGAGAACTAAGCGACTTTAAAGCTACAGTACACGCAAGTACCCGGATGTAACATTATAACAAATATCTTCGAAAGTTCCCCCATCGCTACATTCTAACATTTTATATCCGGAGAAAGACAGTGTAATAACGTGCCTATAACGGTTAACAGTTTGCTTTTTTAAGGCTTATAGTTCGATAAACTAATTAAGAAAGCAAGTTCTTATTTTACATTGCGTTATTCATTGTTTTTTTCTGTTTAGTATGATTATTTAGTTTATTCCTGTGTATTTAAATAGTCCAGGCACTCAGCACTTCTTTTTATGTTTTATTTAATGACTTGTTAAAAAACACACATCTGATTTATGGTTAGACTATGTGACTTTGTAATGATTAAAATATGTATTTCTTCACCATACTTTCTCATTTTTGTCATAATTATACAATACACAGTCATAAGCTAACACGGCATAAAACTTACAAGGTTGAATGTACTTTATTGAAGGGATTGTAAGAGCAAAATTTATTAAAACGTTTTAATTTTTAGAATAGATCATGTAAAATTAAAATTGAAAACATGGGAAAATTAAAGAGGATAAAATTGTACAAAAATAAACTTGGTTGTTCAAACTGTAAAAGAAAGGTTACAGTTGTTTATTTAAAATGGATATATGTATACACACATATTCAAAATACATTAATTACCCTGGTTAACGGCGAGGGCATCTTCTGATGTAGAAGGGTCTGGTGATGGTAACAGTCTTGGTGAGGAGGACATGTTGTTTCAAATGACTGCAGCAAATTTAAATGTTGCCAGCGGCATTAACCTCATTATTTGAAGTGTTTGGAGTCGGTCCCGCAGATGCCTCCAAAACATTTTTCAGCAATTTGTAGGTGCTGTTCCAGCAACTTTTCTGGAGTTTAGGTAATCAGGCCTTCTCATTTGCTTCTGCAACAGTGTGATATTCTCCAAAGGCAAACATACAAGTGTATTTATACACTAACAAACACATCATTGTTTCTGTTCAGCACTTGAAAAATGCACTTGAAAAGTGTAATCCTATTACGGCATATTCTGTGCGGAGGAAGCTGCACAGAATTGTTGTGAAGAGTGTGTGCTGGTGAGTTTTTTCTGCTTCTTCTTGCTAACACCTGAAACATCCGTAACCATCAGAAGGTAAAACTGCAATCGCCTGTTGGGCTGTCAGACACCAATCAGAGACCTCCCTGATCTATTTTTTGTTTGCCTCTCTGTGGGCAGATTTCTCACTAAAAGCAGGAACCTAAAACTCACTGCAGTACTCTGAAAGATTTTAGATTTTCTTATATAATTCAATAAAACAAAGATTACCTAGCCTAACAAGCTACCCAGCTTTTGGTACAGACCATGCTTATCCCCTGCCACAAATATTTTCATTGTAGCTAGGCCTCAACTAAGGCATAAGGTTGTCCGTGTAACAAAAAATATATATATTTATGAACAACGAAAAATATTCATATTGTTTATGAACATTATTGGATGGTAATGATTGTCACATGATGATGCACTTTGCGTTATGGGATGGTAATGATTGTCACATGTGGCAAAGGATTGAGGCACTTTGCAGAGACTGCGCTCCTCATTAAAACAGAAAATGACATATCTAAAAATTGAACAAATTTTCTCCGTTGTCATATCGTCTGACCTCAGCGTCACCCTTTTGGCTTCCTCAAACAGCAAAAATGTGTTTGTTCTCATTCTTAGTGAGAGGAAACTTCACATCCTGTTTCCTTTACCTGCTTTGTCTGCTGGGTGGTGTTAGTTAGTGTCATTACACTCACCTGTGTCTTTGTCATTAGTCTCACCTGTGTCACCTGGTGCCCAGGTATATATACCTCTCCCTCACTCTGTCTTTATGTGGTCATTTGTTCAGTTTGTGTTGAGGCTGTTTTGTGCTGTGTGCCTTGTTCCTGGGATCAAGCCCCTGTACTGTATTTGGGTCCTGCCTGCTTCCTGCCATGTCCACCTGTAACAAATGATTCATTATATGTTCTTTCATTTTGGCTGTGGAAACAAATATTGGAAAAAGGACTTAGTTAGTTATAGTTTTGGCCTGGTTTAATGTGATGAGTTACTTCTTTGACAGCTTTGTTTTTAATAAAAAAAAAAAGGATGCCTAAATTATTGGGAAGAAAACAGGTCAGACAATCCATATAAAATCACTGACTTAGTATAGAAAAAACTTAATTTGAATTAAACAATTAATTATTTTTAGTGAAATTAAATAAAACAAAAACAACCAAACCTTACAGTAACTGCAAAAAAGCATATCATAGAGCAATATGTAAACATTTCAAATTTCATTCTAATGACAGCAAGAAAAATTGCATCAAGTTGATAATATTTGTGTAGTCCAAATTTTGATGAAATTGACTAAATGTAGTTTTAACATATTAATAATATTATTTCATATTACCTGATTGACTGTTGCACGTTGGTCGTGGAGGTCCACTGTCTAGGCCCAAAGTGGCCTTTTGAATGAAACTGAAACTCTTTCTTTGATGACAATGAAAATGGCCATAGTTTCTTGTCATCTACTGCAAACTCATCAGCGGGATCAACCAGCTGAGATTGAGCTTGAGTGCATTATATTACCACTATATATGGTGGAATAAAGAAACCGTGCAGTTGGTACAACTTGTGACGCTCCACTAAATTCTTAAGCAACTATGGAAACTTCTCTAGCTAGTTTTCTGTGCAAATTCAGAGAGGTCGCTTGAAATAGGGGTAAAAAGGGAAGGAAGTACCAGTGACATGACATCACTGTGTATGTGTTGGGTGTTATGGAGATAGCAAGGCATATAGAGGTGCAGAATGAAGGTGGAATATTGCAAAGAAGTCCATCTACCTTGCCAGGTCTTTAATTCTGTACTGCAGCCCATTGTCATTCACCACCTTATCTTTGACCAAAACCTAGCAAAGATTGAGTTCAGATTTGGAATAACCTGACTACTGATTGTGCTTTGCTGAGTGGACAGCTGTGCTGACAGGTGTGGTATTGCATTTTGAGATAAGTGTAAAGAAGTAGCTACCAAATTTACGAATTTGCCCTCGGCATGATCTTGATGCTCCTTGGATATTTGCTTTAAAAGCACTTCCTCTAGATTCAGCCCTAAGTGGTCAATTAGATATGAAAGAAAAACTCCGACAGAAGGACCACTTAAGTTGGTTGAGCTTTAGGCCAGATAACTTAATAATAACAACACTAAAAATTGATTGTACTTTTATTACATTTTACAGTTTGGGGAGAAGTGCTGCAAAGAGATTTAAATTAGATTAGAAGGTTGTGAGGTTAAAACCACAGAACAATGAGATAAAACTGAAACAATAATGAAACCAGACGATGAAACATAAGCAAAGCATTGTATACTAATAGCTTTTTGAAATATCAGTCGTTACTGTGGACCGGTAATACCGCGCCATCGTAGAAGGATCATTACATTTTCAAAATAAAAGATTTTTCAGACTTTATTCTGTATCAGAGTCTGAATGAACTATTGTTTCGAAACACTGACAGATTATCGTTTAATGAGAAAAGTAAAGGGATTATTTTTGACATTACATTTTTTTTACTGTGTCTTGCTGTGACCAGGTACTAAATGACTTATGGACCGGCACTGGTCCAAGAACCGTGGGTTGGGGATCCCAAGTGTAGATGAAGTGGTTTGTAACCAAAATCTGGTGACAATTCAATCTTTGAAACTAAACAATAACCGACAATAATAATGACTTGTTAAGCACTAATTAACTTTACTATTTTACTGAAAAAATCCTAGGTAGTCCTGTCTGTATCCTTCACAGTAATGGGTTAAACGCAGAGGGCAATTCCTCTGTGTGTAGCATAACAATATGTACAATGACAAATAAGATATCTTCGATTCGCGCGCTCGTCTCACGTACGCGCGCGTGTGAATCTCCTCGCGGGATACGTATGGCACGGCGCCGCGCACTCCAGTGTATGCTAATGTGTAGTCGTATGCGAATGTGTGTATCTGTGTGTAGTAACCCAGAACAGCAGAGCTCTCTCTCTAACTCTCTCTCACTCACTCACTCTCTCACTCTCTCTCTCAGCCAGACATGGCGGCGGATCTTCACTCGGGCTTTTTTTCCTGCCTTCCCTCTTCTTGGAGTTACGGGGTGACGCAGGATGGACGCATATTCTTTATTAAGTAAATGTCACGCGCAAACACAGAATCTCAGAGGACTATTTATTCAAAGCGTTTGTCTTTTCAGGGCTTCTGTTAACGAACACTCTCTTTCATCTCTTCCACTAACAGCGAGGAAACGGAGAGCACAACCTGGCTGCATCCCGTCACGGGAGAAGCCGTAATCACGGGGCACAGAAAATCACCAGGTAAGGAGACAGCTATGGCTATGCCCGTGTGACAGATGCGCACAATCGCATGTGGCGTTGAAGCGTCTTGACAAGCGTTATCTGTGCGTAACAGCTGAGAAAGAAGGCTAGGGAGGGAAAAAAGAAGACGACTTGCGAATATTGACCCTTTTAAGGCAATAAGGAGATATTTTGGACAGCTTTAGTGTTCCGCTTATCACTGCGCTCTTCCACCTCATCGTTTACCGACGGCTGCCACACCACTTTTTTAAAGTTCCCTCACGTACGAATTCGTTGCCCAATTTCCCGCAGTGACATTTTCATCACTGACGTCTGCTGAGCACCGCATATTTTTTTTAGTACGACGCAATACGCACAGAGTGGACACACAGTACATACATATACTGCATACATATATGTACACAGCCGCACATGTTTGCGACGAGACCAGTCAGCGCCCACTGGTCTGTGTTTTTTTTTATTGCATGCAGATCATGGAAATGTGTGCAAACATCTGGAGGCTGAACAGCGCACTTCCACAGCCACGAGCAGACGGACAGACAGACACCCCCAAAACGATTAAAGCAGCCCTGGATATGCACGAAACTGACGTCCATTGTCGCGCTTGTCATATGACACAAGTCAATGCACGGGAGCCTGAGCATCTGTCTGTGCCCAGACCACAGACTATCTCTGTTGCAGCGTGAGGCCGCAGGAGAACATCGGAATGATGCCGCTGTTGTTACGTAGTTGTGCAGAAGTCTCTATTCTACATGGATCCGTGGTGGCAGTTTTACAGACGACTTAAATGTCTCATTTGACGTTTCCAGTCGTATCACCGTCCGTTTTTTTTTTCAATTGGAAACACATGTTGACAGAGTGAGGAAAAAAAAAACCGAGTGGGAGGATTTTACATTACCATTTAATATTACTGTATGTAACTGGCAGTTGGAACATCCTCCAGTAGTCAAATACATTTACCGTTGTCAATATCGGTGTCTTCTATGTCTCGATGATAGTGACAGCGCCACCTAGCCGTTACCGAACGGGACGTACGCTCTTGAAGTGATTGGTCATACTCAGCCTCCAGCTTTTTTATTTATTTATTTTATTATGTCATTTGTTCAGATTTTAATTTAATTGGTATTATCTAACTGATGTATATTCTGTAAAAAAATAAAAAAATAAAAATGAAATCACACTAACAGGTTACAAATTGGTGAATATTCTGTAAAAAAATAAAAATAAAAATGAATTCACACTAACAGGTTACAAATTGAGCTGTAATTTACATAACCATACACACCTACAGTACACTTACAGTACTTACAGCTTTTCTAATCACCTTCGTCTGGTAACACACGTCTATGTTCAAGACAAGAGGTTCTCAAACTACGGTGCATGTAACATCGGTGGCTCCCTCTAGTGGTACTTTTTTGTGATGGTAAAAATAGTGAGGATAAAGAAAAGTAGGGAAACGGAAAAGTATATTAATGTCGTGCCAGTCTAGCCACTTGATACTCCCTACATCTGGGCCACGGGTAAGCCTGAAGTGTTTCCCAATAATTGCCTCGTTTGGGCCTTTGACCATAAAGGGGACACTATCGCCTCAGCAGCGGCACCCTGTGGCATGCTCGGGGACATTAAAAGGTTTAGGATTTATAAAGGTATCAGCAGATCGGCAGATACGGACTTGATCAAAATAATAATGATAATGAATTAACCCAATAACTTGCTCAGCCTTGGTGTATGCATATAAAAAGTACTGTATCTATAGGAATGTAGAAATTTCCAACAATTTTTGTTTGGGTGATATTCTTTACAATTTGCAGGTCATAAACATATTGCACGTGTTATACTACACTAATAACACCTGCCCTGCTAGGTGTTAAAATCGCACCTCACAAGGCTCAATTACAACCCAACAAGAATAACAACAGCGTTGTACTTTGTGTGGGCCGACATTTTTCTCATATTAGCAAGCATGTAAGCATCGACGCTTACAACAGTGTCTCTGTTAGGGCCTGCTACTGCGAAAAATAGGTCAAATGTTGGCTCTGTTTGATCATTTTTGTTTTTCATGATTACCACAGAACACAATCAGGGAAGGCTCGATCCGATACTCAGGACCGCTATCAGTATGACATTGGTCAAAATTTCTGGATGGAATGTGAAAAAAAAACAACTATAGCTCATCCGATCCAATATCTAAGCCCAAACTTAGGATATCGCGCAAACTAAATTTTTCACGAAATGCTGTTAACAGGGACACCTCGGCAATGGCAGCTCGCGGCATACTGGGGGAGAAAGGAGTGTATCTAATTGATACAGGTAAAGGCAGATAGAGATACAAGTTGCAGTATCGGTATCAGACCTGAACAAGTTGTATCGAGCCGTCCCTTAACACAATAGAAATAATGAACAAAATTAAGTACTCTACCTTTTCAAAAGTAGCATAATGGTTTGTTTACATATGTGTTACAGTTATGATTAATGAGGCTTGTGCTAGGCTGTCAACTGAACAAAGGAAATCAGTGCAGTTGTTTTCGAAGAAGTATTTCTGTATGTGATTGCGATACCATATCTTTGTTGCTGCTTATGATTTTGTTTCCGCCCCATTTTCACAGATTTACCAACAGGATGGGAAGAAGGATTCACCTTTGAGGGGGCTCGCTGCTTCATCAAGTGAGTAAGAACGTGTTTGGTGTTCGGAAAGAAAGGCCCACCAGGCACGCATCGATGTAGTCGTACACATGGACACTGGAACGCAAACAAATAGATAGATAGATAGATAGATAGATCTTTATTAATCCCTTCGGGAAATTAGGGTCTAGACTAGACTTGGATCTAGACTGTTTCTGTTTCTGTTTATATCTCTGGTCTTAGGATTAAATTTAGATGCCGGTTGACGTTTTTCCTCAGCGTACCAGGTGGCTGATAAATAGGTGAAAAATCATCTTAGGAATACATTCTTACTTGTTCACCCATCTTGACTGAATATGGTACGATTATGCTGCTGTATTCTAATGTTTGGGCACTTCATGTATTTTTCATAGTGGCAGATGGTTTAAAAACAACTGTATTAGACACTGCATTTGGGCATGCACGAACGTTGACAGTTCTTTATGTGTCTTCCGCAACTGTATTAGACACTGCATTTGGGCACGAACCTTGACAGTTCTTTATGTGTCTTCCACTGAAGGGCAAGGACTTTTGTAACATTTTTTTTCTTATATTTGACAGATTAGCTCATTGTAGTCGTTCCACACAGTTTCCGTGTGTCTTGTTCCTGCTGTAGTTAAAAGTACCACGGGTCTGTATAACTGTCCCACTGGATATTGACCAGTCTTCTGTTTATTTCACTACCACTCATTAATGAACTGCATTCTAAGCAAACATGGCTCTGATTGGTATTTGTTCATCCTGTTTACATGACACAATTGTTTATTAAACTAACACTGGTCGAAATAATGACAATATTGGCATATTTACACGATTTTTTTTTTAACTTTAATTATTAACCCTGAAGGTCCATTTTTGTATACTACAATGGCAGTACAGATGATTTCTTTATCGAAACCTATCCGTTGGTCCCAAATTATCACCTGAATGCACAACTTTTCATGACGGGCTATTAAGAGATACTACTGCCGCTAACGTAATGGCAGCCCACAACCTGACTTTGTGCTACATTTTATTGACAGAGACTCTGCTATGCAGCAGGTGTCAGGTGAGCGGTAGCTAGAATTTAAGTTGATTAACCTACAGTAGCGTCATTTACGTTACGTGAACTGGAGTTAATGAACACACAACTGGAGTGTCTGGTGCAGTGGCAGACACTTAAAGACATGAGACAACACACACATTTCATCTGTAACATACTGCCTAATATTTTGCAGTGCATTTTCTGGTCAAAGTGCTAGCAGTTTTTGTTTTTTTTTTAAATGAAAAGCATCAGTATTGAACCTGTTGGCTGGGAAACACATGGAAAGTGCTGTTGAATGCTTTTTTGTCTTCTACAATTTCATCTGACATACTTGTGAGCCATAGTGAAGGGAAAAAAATACGGCGTAAGTGGTCTTACTCATCAGGGCTTTCTTAATAAATTTATTTTAGATCGAGGATGAAGTAAACCAAGAAACTCCTGCACCGGCAGACTAACGAACCTTTGTGACACTAGACCTGAAGCAGCGAGCATGTGGTTCGGTCTATCAAACACTTTACCCTGCTTTTCCCAGAAGGCTTACACCTGTCTGCAGTTGTGTGCTTTTCTTAGATCCAGCAACCAAATGTGTTTTTTTTCTTGTTATGCTACCTTATTTCCATTACTGCTGTACAGGACCTTCGGTGATTTGAATATTTCAAACAGGCCACACTTAACTTTAGAACCAAAGAAAAGTGATTATTTAATTCAATATCAATACATATAGGGGACAGACTACGTTGACAGCCCTGGATTTTTTTAACTTCTATGTGAAGGTTGTGAAGTGAAATTGAGATTCGCTCAGGAACCAGTTAGTTATCAGTGGGATGCTGATATATATTTGTCCCATTCTCTTTTGCCTTGTTGTATCTTACCGCTCTCCTCTATCCCCCTACTACTGTCATATGCACTACCCCTTCAAAGGACAACACACGGAGTACTTTCCTGTCCAATACTTTCCTCCAACAGTTTCTTATCTTCCTTCTTTTTCTCCTCCACCAACCACTGCTACCCTCCACTGTGAGACAGTATCCAAATGTAACCGTGAAAATTATTTTGAACACACAGGCAAAATCCTGTCGTTGTTGCCAAGCAACACAGGAAGTGTCAGAGGTTGGCTGCTGTTTTCTAACAGCTTCAGATATCACCCTCAGTCAACCCACTAACTGCTAATCAACCACCAATAATAGGAATGTTTTATACCAGCTTCTTGACCATAAATGCTGCATGAACCAAGGCAGTTAAGTCTAAACAAGACTCTTTCAGATCTTTCAAACAGATCTTTTTTGGAACCTTGTTTGGTACTGCTCCTCCTGTACGGTGATGCGGGTTTAGTGGGTTAGCCAGGTATGTTGAGTCTAAAGCCAGGCTTTCCTGGTTCCAAACAGGTTATGTTCAAAGTTTCATTTGAAAATTTAACACAACTTTTTGTCTGATACCGATACTGTAACTGAGTATCTGTTGATACTGATATCAATCCGATACCTTTTTTATTCTCCTCCTGCTGCTGCGAGCTGCTGTTGCTAAGTCAATAGGATCCTTTTTACCACCTGTTCCGCACAGTTAAGTTGAGCATTTGGGCTAAGGTATAGGATCAGACTGGCTATAGATGTTTTTCCGATGTACGACACTTTGGTGCTGAATGGTGGGAGTGCTAACCACTCTTCCATTGTGTTTCCCCTATTTCTAAATATTTAATGGCAAAAAAACATTGTAATTATTTGTGTAGCTATATTCCTACAGTATTTCACTTAAAAATGTCTATGTGAGATTATTCTATTTGAACTAAGATTGATTATAAATTCGGTTTTAATGTTTGTAGGTTTTAAAGGGAGGAAACTCAACATAGGCAGATGGCTTTTAAAGACGAGAGAACTGCGAAGATAGAGGAAACTGGAGCATAAAAAATAAGAGCCCTACTTTGATGGTTGAAAGCTGCTCCTTCTTCAGTGCATTTATGATCTGGTCGGAACAAGGGGCACGTTTTTCTTAGCGCCCCACATGGTGCGGCATAGGCTTTTTTTGATTTTATGTCTTCAAATTGGTACAGAAACTGTACCCTTAGTTGCAAGTGAAATAAAGGATCTTCATTTTACTAGTACAAAGGCTTGTAATCCGAGTTATGGAAACAGGATTAAGTTATTTACCATCTTGGCTGACTTTTTGTGGATAAAAAAAATCCCGCTGCTTCATATTGACTCAGTCCAGCTTCTTTGTGATGGTTAACGTTTAATAACAGCTGGTGAACAATAGACAGTATTTTTTGTTGCAAATAAATAATATAGTGAATTTAAAAAAAAATTGTTCATTTTCTCTGTGTAGAAAACTACTTGTTAGTGATGTCCGATGATATTGGCCGACCGATGTTATCGTCCCAATATTAGCATAATTATGTCATTTTGGTAAGAATCGATATCAGTTTTTCCTCAGATAGTTTAAACCGATAACGCGAAATATGGTGGAATTGAATATGCGATCGGAAACAACTGCATATATCAAAATCGGAAGTTAAGTGTTTGGACGATGTTAGCATATCCAACATCGGCAAAAACTTAATATAACATCCTGTTTTAATAATATTAAGACATTATCAGCATTGAATTTGTTGGCTATCAATAATAATGTGCATCCATAGTTTTTGCACATGCTAATGTGTAACTAAGAGTATCAGCATTGTTCTGTATACAGTATATTGTACTCTATGTGATCTGGTTTAAGACACTATGTGTCTGTCTTTGCACAGCCACAACGAGCGGAAGGTGACCTGTAAGCACCCCATGTCAGGAGCTCCTTCCCAAGACAACTGCATCTTTGTTGTTAGTGAACAGTAAGTATTCTTGCACTCACACCCTTACAGAGAGCTGACTTCTCCATGCCATGGCCCCCAAACAGCATTAGCTTCTGTATAACACACAGTACCAGGAAAGTCACTAATCGCTAGGGGTATGAACTTGGTTAGCCTGTAACTACCTAGTCTACACAGATTTTCTCAGAGTTTCTATGTTTTCCCACGTGTCACATGAGATACGTTCAGTTGATAATCCCACGATCACGACAGTTTATGTGTGGTATAGTTCAGGACAAGGAGTTATAACATTTTTCTGAGGTTCCCCTAGAGCCTCCACTTTGAAAACCACTGCTGTATTACAATATATTTGCACACATTCTCAAATGTTTAAAGGAAAACCCAACAGAATCATTCTTCTAAGGCGTGCTGCAGATCCCACTATGTGCCTCGATTTAAAACTAGAATTATTTTTGAACCTAGAAATGTAAACTGTTTTGAATTAAAGCTTAATTTCTACAGCTTTAGTATTTCCGTCTGGATTCCCCTTGTGGACAAATCCACTGAGTATGATTAATGTCAGTGACAGTATCTTAAAACACACTAAGCTTCCTCCATAGATTAAAAAAAGAGTTTAAACTGCCACTAGGGAGGAGCCAACTTAATCAGAGATGCTAATTAAAGAGTCGCGCTAATGTTCCTATCTTCTGTAAAATGTGGATAACGACACTCAGGTTGTAGTCACCCCACTGTGTATGTCAGTGACTACCTGAGTCTCTACAAAATGTTCTTAATTGGCTATTGGCAGAATCAGCAGGCGGTGGCAGAGTAATCATAGAAAGGCTATATTGTAGTTTAATGATACTTTTTACATTAGTTTCTCTAAATAATATATGGAGGGTATCTGCCATTCTAATCACAGCAGAAGGTTCCCAGTCCTCTGTTAGGTGGTCACTCTTTTCCATTAAGTTTCACCCATTTCTTTGTCACCTGTGCCACAGTCTCTTCATGTTCCATGTTTTTGTTTCCATTTTCCATTTCCTTTACCCTGCTTTGCAAACTCCCAACGTCCATCTGAGGGCACTTCCTGAACTTGAACTCGTCAATGTTCCCACCGTTTTGGTCATACCACAAAATTCAGATGTCGTCACTCATTCTTGTAGGCTTGATTTTTTTTTTATTTAACTTACATTTATTGGACCTTAGAAAAGTAGGGAAGACTGTCTTCTCAGAACACTAGCGAGAAAGGTTTCTCAGAGGAAACGCATGTGTGAATCACATGTTTATTATACGCTGAATCACTGCCCCTTCCCTGAATGAGGTTTGCTATGACTGTATCCCATCAATATCTTATCTTGTTCATTTAAGTGAGTCATTTTTAAATGGAAATTTGAACTGCTTCTGTGGCGATTCCTAGTAAAGGAACTCCTAGTAAAGTCGAAATTCATTCTTCTACTTAATTTCTGTACTTTTAGCCTAATTCCTAACAATGACCTAATTCTTATTAAAGAGATGCAACATCGTAAAAAAACTCACCCCAATAATCACGCCCAAGAGTTGTCCTGACCGCCTAAACATGATCATCACTGGCATTAGCCATAATCCGGAAACAGAAGTAAGGTTCCAAGGTACTTGACTTTGTAGCACCGTCTCTCCCATGTCTCTCACCTTGTGGCAGGTCGGCTCCCAAGTCTTCACCAGAGCTAAGTACCTGCAGCGACATGAAGGAAGACGCTGTGATCAACAAGAGCGAGACATCAAGCTACATGAGCGGACCACACTATAGCACCTTTCCCCGTAGTAACACCATCACAGACTCCAGAACGGCCACCACCCAGGGCACCGCTTCATCAACACGGGTCAGTCAATAAGGAGCCCTAAAGATGCTGGGCCGGTTAAAACTAAAGATTTTTTTTAAAGTACAGTTTCTTTTGATATAAAAAAGTTAAAAACAAAACTTCCATTTGTCTGCCTTAAATAGGTATTTTTACAACAATATACATATACTGTATATTAGAGGTGTAATGGCAAAGGAAACCTACAGACCTCGATATTGCTATCACGGCTCGGTACATTTTTGGTACAATAACAAACATGGAGTCACAAAGAGCTAGACAAAATATATATATATATATGTGTATATAAACTATATATTTATATATATATGTGCATATATGTTCATATATATTCATTTAGAATATAGAATATATGTGTATATGAGGTATATATTTATATATGTCTGTATATGTTTTATATATTCATTTATATATATATTAAATATATATTTACAAAAGTAATATATATATATACTGTATATATACACACATCGACGTGGGCTGAATGAAGCCTCGTATGAATACATATATATATGTAAACATAAATATATTTTAAAGTGTCAAATATACCTGTTGTTAACTCAAACTTCTGTAATTATCTAACAATTGTTCCATAGCTGTCGAGGTCGTTCAAAAAAGTCCACAACTTTGGCAAAAGGTCCAACTCCATCAAGAGGAACCCTAATGCCCCGGTGGTCAAAAGCAGCTGGCTTTATAAGCAGGTACAGAACAATGTCAAACATTTTGAAGTATGTCTGAGTATTTGTGTGAGTTTTTTTAATCCTGAGATGATGTGAATTTTTTGCATTGGTCTTTTCACTGAGATTGCTAATCTTTTCAAGTAATCACACAGTTGGGATGTACCTGATGTGGTTAAGGTCAAAACAAAAGCAGCCGCAAGAAGATTTGTAAAAGATTATGAATGTGTGTTTGTTTATTTGTGTGTGTACCTTACTGATGGCCTGTAACCTTTCACCTCCGCAGGACAGCACAGGAATGAAGCTGTGGAAAAAGCGATGGTTTGTGCTATCAGACATGTGTCTCTTTTACTACAGAGGTGAATAAATACACACACACACAAACACACACACGTGCAGTGGTTTTGGAGTTTTTCTGTCAATGTTGGAATGTTACCTGTCGGACTTTACCTTTCCTCGTAATGAGGATGACTTGCCAAACCAGTGAGAGACACGCTACAATGAAAAAAGAAAAATAAATTGTTGATGTTTATTTACAGACTTCAATGTCACGGTCCACTGAGAACCAGATTCTTGACTTTTACATTATGTTCTCTGCAGACGACAAAGAAGACAGCATCCTGGGGAGTATTCTGTTGCCCAGCTTTCACATCTCCATGTTATCAGTGGACGACCACATCAGCCGAAAATACGCCTTCAAGGTAGAAAAATATATATATCAACAACTTTTTTCTGTAATTTGGGCTTGTTGGTTTCTATGTAATGTCGGAAAAAACGATAACAACAATTATAATTATGCTAATATCAGCCGATAATATCGGTTGGCCGATATTATCAAACATCCCTTATATTGATTTTATGTGATTTTCGTTCTTGAACCTCTTGGAGTCCTGGAGATAGAGACAGGGAGGAAAGAGCCACACTTGGCTCCGGAGCCGCGGGTTAGCCGCTAAACAGAGCAGGTGTTGTTAAAGCTAGGTTTCAGCTTTTAGATCGCTGAGCATCTGCTTGGTTTCCATCTGGGAAATAGTATTAAAGATGCCGTAGTTACCATACGAGCGATGCTCCAGGACACAGACAGGGTGAGAAGGAGTTGAGAGCAGGTGAGGGAGAACCTTGAGGGAGGCGGAGCTCTGTACTGAAGAGGAGAGGACTGTGGGTCAGCAGATGCAAGCATAAAAAAAGCCTAAGCGCAAATAAGGCTGACACAGGAAGAAAGGTGAAACTGGAACAAGACGTACTGAAGGTGAAAGAGTTCACGTGTCTGCGGTTAGCCGAACTCACAGACGGTGCAGAAACTAGTGAAAACAAGAGTTCTTGCAGGGTGGAAAACAAATATAAAAGAGTTTAAATAAAAAGAGAGAGCAGTGGATGAGATGTAAAGGTCTATCATGAGGCAGTGAGATCGGCCATGAAGTACATACAGCAGCACATAAGGATCCACAGTATTGGAAATGATCTGACGAGAGGTTCAGTTAAGATTATTTGAAGAGAGGTAGAGAGGCAAGGTTAGCTGGGCGATACATCGAAATTTGATTTTGATTACGATTTGGGCTTCCCACGATCAAGAAAACAAGACAATCCAGGAGAAAGGAAGTTGGAGTATCTAAGCTGACAAAGTTGTATCGAGCCTAAAAACCCTAAAAAATAAAATACATTTTGCATGACACACTTACAGTGTAATTTATTACAGAGAGAGACACTGAAGAATGATGCAAATCTTTAATAGTTGTGATGTCATAGTTTCTCTCTCCCTCTCACTCGTCTCTCCCAGGCCACTCACCCCAACATGCGTACATATTATTTCTGCACCGATACGGCCAAAGAGATGGAGTCTTGGATGAAGGTCATGACAGATGCTGCCCTTGTCTACTCAGAACCAACCAGAAGGTCTGTGGTCATACTAAGGACACATGCATACTCTCTGAGCTTATCGTAAAGGACACCTGGTGGTCAGAAGAGAAAAAACAATCAAAGACAGGAGTTCACTTCTTAACCTGTAACTTCCTAGATCTACTATCATCAAGAAATTGTTGTAGTTGTAATTCATGGCCAGTTCATACTCTGAAGCAGCATAGTTTTTATTATAAGGCAATTTAATTTTTCTTCAGCTCCAGAGGGCCGCACAAAATGACCTGACGGGCCATATCCGGCCCACGGGCCTTGAGTTTGACATTCTAGATCAGTGGTCCACAACCTCTTTTTGTACAGAGAACAGGTCGGCTGGTACCTCCCGTTGCTGTGGACCAGGAGCACCACACTGATCGTTGAAGGATCAGTACATTTTCAAAATAATTTACATTATTTTGAAATATTGCCAGATTATATTTTAATGAAGAAAGTAAATGGATTTGATTGGATTCTTTTTGAACGACATAAAAATCAGTACAAATAAAGTACATTTTTTCACTGTGTCCCACTGTGGCCTGCGGACCTGGGGTTAGGCACCCCTTATCTAGGTGATTTCTCTGGGAAAGCTAAGGATTGTGGAGCCGTTCTGTCCTTGAGTTTTATAAACTAGGTAAATGTTACAGGTAACCTGCAGTTTTCTATTGACAAACATAAGGCCCGTGGGCCAAGACTGGCTTGCTAGAATGTTCAATTCGGCCCGCTTGATCCAAGACTGAAATAAAAATCAATAGATAATAGTAATAACAATAATAAATATTGAATATACTTGTACTTCTTTGCATTAAAACAATGGGGAAAACATGGACTTATTGTTATTTATAGTGAATTATATTGAGTTTCACAGCCCTGCCTTAATTGTCGCATTCTGACTCTTTCTTTTATTTAGAACCAACAAGTCGAAGGTGGAGCAACGTTTACCTCAACAGTTCAACAACCTGGTGAACCACAGAGCCCTCACGAGCCCCGAGATCCAAAACAACGAATCCAACCGCGAACATACACGACAGCACTCTATTTCGCACGCCGACGACAATCGGCAAATCGATTTAAAGAAACACGGCAGCCAACAAGAATGTATGTACTACACTTTACAGCAAGACTCCTTGAAGAGAGATGGCAGCAAATGTTTGAAGCAGAAAGAAGAAGAGAAGAACCTTGTGCACAAGAACGGAGAGAAGTACTTGTTGCAAAAAGATGGAGAGAATTGCTACCTGCCGAAAGATGAGGAGGTACACGGCATACATAGAGATTCGGAGAAGTACAATATCGTGAAAGTGGGCGATAAGTACACGGTGTCACAGGAGAAACATGCTTTGTCTAAAGATGGAGGGAAATATCTGTTTGCCAGAAATGGTGATAAATATGCAATGCAGAAAAGCGAAGACAGACACGCGTCACTAAAAGGACAGAAATGTGTTTCTCACAAGGAGGTAAAGAGACATCCGTCCTCGAGGGAGGCAGAAAAATACTGCACTATGAGAGTTGGGGAGAATATATATGGTACATTACAGGTTGCGAACAAATATGGAACTTTAAGGGACATGAAAAAATACAACACGCTACAAGAAGGGAGAAAATACGCCACCCTCAGAGATGCGGAGAAGTATGCAACGGTACGTAATGTTGGGAAATACAGTCTTCAGAGGGAGCCGATTATAGAGAGGTCTATTATCAAGAACAGCAGCAACAGACTGCAGCCTGTCCAAGTGGCTGCTGTGTCCACATCTCCGCTGGGACAGACCTGTCTCACTGAAGAAAAGACTGCGTGGGTCCAAAATTCCGAGTCTGGGGTTAAGACTAAGGAGCAGTCTGATTTGAACTCCAGGACGGAACCTGCGGAGAGCGGCCAGTGTGTTGGTCCAGGAACATACCCCGCTGCAGGGCAGAAAGACGAGAAAGACCTGGACAGGGCCAACTTCATGCAGCAGCTGGAGCGGTGGGTCCACACGCAGCGATCGAAAGGTCTGGAAGACGACATCAGGAGGTGAGACATGATGTGCGGCTCCCTGTGTTCTGATGTCCAAACTGATATCGCTAGGGAAATGTTCAAGTGCAATGAACCTGATCGTCATGATGACCTGTGTTTATGTAGTCCACACTTTCGGATTCCATAAATCAGTCTAATCCAGTGGTACTCAAACTTTCTGGCCCTGCTTTTGGTTATTTATATTTATATTTATATTTATGTGAAATGATGGCGTCCCAAGTGACTATTGTACTTTTGGCTTTGTGACTGTAAATTTAACTATCGGTTAAAATGTCAGCATACATTCAACATTGCTTTAGTGAAGACGATTTGAAAGTCTCAGATAAAGAGACTCCCTCCGAGGAGACAAAAACCCCAACCCTGTTTAACTTCTGTTCCAGCGTGACCTCCTATCAGACCTTACCCAGGAACATGCCCAGCCATAGTGCTCAGATTGTGAACCACTACCCCGAGGGCTACCGCACAATGCCCCGCAACAGGATGGTGAGGCCTGGCAGCATCTGCAGCACAGCGGGTTCTGTGTTTGACCTAGCACTCCATCGCAACTCCACTGCAATGACCGCAGTGGAGAAGAGAAGGTCTCTGAAGGACATCACCATGTGGCAGCTGTACGAGTGGCAGCAAAGGCAAGCTTTCTCCAGGCAAAGTTTAGCTCAACCAACAGGTAATTTGCTGCTAATTAAAGCTTAAACTCTAGCTCGCACCACGCCGCAATACGTCTAGTCAGTTTCTAACACAGGCTTAAAACTATAACAATCAACCGATGATCTTAACAAGCTACATGAAGGTGTACACGATCAAAAATGATGACTAAAAATTTGCTTTTATTGGCATTGGCTAATTTGTACTTTTTTAGTTAGACCAAACTTGGTTTGGAATTGTGCTACATGAAATGACATTACCAAAGCAAACATCTATATCTCCGACATGTTAATCCTACTGATGTACTCCAATACCATTGGGGAGGCCGGCCTTTGGAAGCCTTCAATTATAGATAGACAGATAGAACTTTATTAGTCCCTTGGGAGTTTCTTTTGGGAAATTAAGCAGTCATTTATGGTTTGAATTTTTTTTTTAAATCTTTGGCAACAAGAAATATTCAATCTTTAATCTATCGTAGAGTCTCAAGAAGAAGCCACGGGAAGAACTTCCTGATGGAACAGTGTTCTCTTTCAGTTGACTGATAATTCTCTTGTGAAACTTACGATGAAATTAATGAGCCTCAATGACCTACTCGTAGTTACGTTTAGAATATATTTGATTGTCTTTGGTTTTTTAAGGGGGCCTGGCTAAACTGGGGGACGTTAAGGCGCTTTTGCTTTGTTTGTTCAAGCGGCTATCCCACCGATTGTTGATTCAAGGATTTGTTTGTAACAACATGTATTCTGACCATTGAATCGCTCCTGTTCTAGGACAGTCCTGTTATGAGCCACAGCCTTTGACTCCACCGAGACTTTCTTCACTGCCACTGTTGTTTTGATTGCAGCTATTGGTCACTACTGCACCCTGCCGAGCTCAAAGACCATCAACACCATCTCTGAACACACTGTGGCTCACTCCATCCCCAGCTCTACCTCCCATGGCTCCCTGGCCCTCTACAGCACCTTTTCTGCTTTCTGTCAGCAGATTGCTCACAAGCCAGCCAACGTTTCGGAAGATCCGTCCCAAGTGTTTCCCAGAAATGGGACACTGGACTGCAGACAGAGGGCGCGCCTTGCTAAGGTAGAAACACAGCACTGGACTGTTGAGCTGTCATAGTAGCGATATGCAGTACTGTGCTAGCTACTGCAAAGAACTACATTATAATATATTATATGTAGTTCTTAGGATTTTGTTCGCTAGGGATTTTGGATCCCATGAAAAGAATTTTACTTAAAACTATGCATTTTCATGCTATCATTTCCATTCAACTTGTCATACTATTTTATGTCAGTATTAAAATTTTATTGGAGGCCCCTCTGGACCCCTCTTAATCATGAGCTCTTAAAAATCTTTATCCTTTTCCCCACTAACGTTGGCATTACTAGTGTAAGCAACTCATTACAACCCTGTTAATCAGGGGAAGTTTGTCAGAGATACCAGGACAGATTGTTCCGAGGTTCCAGTTAGCCAGTCGTAGAATCTGGTTTTCCTCGTATATCTTCTGTTGCCTGGTTAGGTTGTTTGTTTGTTTTTTGGTAATTTAATGGTTTTTGTGAACAACTCTTTCAGTTGATATTTGTGACTAAAGAGAAATATTTCATTCATATGTGAGTACCAGAGAATTGATGAGCATTATCTCATCTCTGTTCAGCAGTACGGCAACCCAACTGACCCACAATCAGTTGCACCTGCTTCCCTTCCTCAGACCATTACTGCTCAGTCCTTGCAAAGAAAAACGGTAAGATCTAATTTCTTATCTTTTTTAGGATGCTGCCTAAAACAGATTTAGTCACACAATAACAGCAGTTTGTAAATAATAATAAAGATATTCTAACTTTAGCAACCAGAGTCAACAATTTAGACCTGTTTTGACTTCTTTGTTTCTGCTATTTAAAAAACATTGTCATCAGCGTATAGCAATATCTACAACTGATATTTGTTCGTAGTGTGGCCCTTTTTATGTTTTTTTTTAGCCACTATATCATGTGTCACATTGAGCTGCTCGTTTCTTTTCCCCCACATGCTCAGCCTGAAGAGCTGACACTTGAGTTGATCAAACTCCGTCGGAAGCAAGCAGAGCTAAACAGCCTGCGAGAGCACACAACAGCTCAACTGATGGCTCTCGGTTTGGAGGGCTCCAACGCCAAGGTCAGCACTGAGTAAATATCTTACATATGTGTATGTGTGTGTGTGGACCTATTAGTGACACTCGAGCCAAATGCCACATTCTTGCATGTTTGTCTGCAAGTGAATGAACCTGCACTTAAATATAGCAGTTCTACAATTTTTTTTTCTTTTAATTGCTATAATTAAAAAACAACTAAAAAGCTAGCAAAAAACAACAGCTATGAAGTTAGCAAAAACAACTACTATATAGTTGGCCAAAAAACAACAGCTATGAAGTTAGCATAAATCAACAAATGCGAATTTAGCAAAAGACAAAACCCCTGCTAACCTTTCATGCTATCCATTCACATGACACTTTAACAACACTTTATTTCAGTGAAGCTTCATTGTTGTTGTAGAGATAATTGGTCCAGGAGGGAATCCCCACAATGATGACATCATAGGGTCTGTCAGTTTTCAGAGTATTCCACTTTTCCTGGCCGACCAAGTCTCACAGCTCGCCAAGTTTTTAACAACCAAAGTCTGGTGTGTGCTGAAAGGCTGCTTCAAAATTCCTGAATCTTGGTGCCAAAAGCTCTAACGCTGACAGAATGGATCAGGTCTTCCAGGCCTTAGCCAACCACAGGAGCCTCAGTAGTCCACTTAACCACCTATGCAGGAACTATAGGTGCCCCAGCAGCAAGCCACTGGTGGCGCCTTCTGTTATAGTCGCTCAATTCTGCCAAGTCTACATCCAAGCCTCCTGTGTCTACGCCCCTCACCCCTTCCAATTCGTCCCAGTCCAACGTGTTTGTCATTCAAGCCTTCCAACCCTTTTAGGTTGGCACCTGCCAAGTTGACATATGCTAGGTCCAAGTCTGCCTGGTCAAGGTCTGCCAGGTTTGAAATTATACAGGTCAACTCTGCCAAGTTCAATATTACCAAGGTATTGTCCACCAGATAAAATCTGGCAGGTTCAAAAACTGCCAAGGTTCGAGATTGCCAAGTCCGTATTTGCCAGACAAGGTGTGTCATGTTCAAGTAAGCTAGATCTTTTTCCCTTTCCTTGTACCAGAGCATCCAGTTATTAATTACAATACAATACGTATCACAATACGTGGGCAACGATATGATATATTGTGATATACTGCACGACATTTGTTAACGCTACATTAAAAGCAAAAAAACAATGAACCAACACGATGACTATTTGCATGTTAATAGTTTATTTAAAAAATTGATACGGCGTGACAGAGTATTGCTATGATGCCGTTAAACTATATATTTTAGTGTATTGATATTTTCAGTTGTTTGGGTCAGTTGTTAGTGCTGCTCTGTGCTTTTCTATACTAACCAAGGTTATCACATTTCCAACCTGTTCCCATTTCCTTGATTTTTTCGATATGAACCTATAACCTTTTACCTTCTTTCTTGTGTTCTGGTGTTTTGGTGTCTCTGTTTCCTGTCTACTTTTTTTCTATATCTGTAACCATTTCTTCTGCCTGGCCTTTCTTTTACTCTTCTGTTCCTGCAGAATGATGTTCTTTTACATCACCTCCAGAGGAATATTGTTTACCTGGACAGCCAGGTGAGAATACTCATGTGAAAGAGTATCAGTCTGACTAACTCAGCTCCAGTCTTTGTTTCATTCTACTTCTCTGCCTGTGTTGGAAATGTGACAAATTTCTTAAGGTCATTATTTCCGATAACTTCAACATAGTAGCTGGTTCTGAGCCAGCCCTATGAAAGTTTTCGGCGTTTTTTCGATATTTTGTTAAACTAGCATAAGGTAATTATCAATGAACATGTTTTCAGCACTGCACTAAATACATGCTAGCTTGATGAGCACAGCAGCTTGATAACAGGCACAAACCATCAAGTCTTCACAGCTTCGGGTTCCATCGGAAACTCGGGTATCCAACAACGAAAGCAGTTTATATTTTAAATTTTTCTGCCCCCACTTTGAAAGCCACTGGTCCAAATAACGATGTATTGCAGAATCTTCCAGATTAATATTGTGATCGTACATGATACATGCACATGGTGAGCAACTCCCATAACAGCAGGATTATAATTCTTTTTTTCCATGTCGCCGCGCTAGACGAAGGAGAACGAGCCTTTAATCTTCATGATTCATACTATGATCGAGAACTCAGCACCAAGACCACAGCTCTACCAGCAGGTAAGGACTTTAAGAGGCTCCGCCTTGCAGCACCAAGACCACAGCTCTACCAGCAAGTAAGGTCTTAGACTGATTGGACTATTGTTGACTTTGCCCCATACATTCATATTTTTACAGCTACTGATTAAAGGGTCCACTTCGATAAGAAGTTCGTATCAGTTAGGTATACGCTGATCGTTACAAAACGCAGTTAATTAATTAATGCGATATCTGTATCTATCTGACCCTTGAATTAGTGAGTACAAAAGAATAAAATTTCATTGCATGTTATATACCCTCAACATAACGTAGGCTCTATCAGCACTAGACTGATGCTGCGTTCACACCACATGCAATAGCTGTAGGAAAAAGAAAGCTTGAAATGCATGTATTGTGCCGCTTGATCATTTTAGCATCTTCGTTTTATTCGCACCTGTCAGTGAAACACACACATATACATATTTATAGACCCTCCCTTGATTCCTTTTTTGACTCTGCTTGCTCACAGGTCGGCACAGACTACTGCAAAGACAACGTCCATCACGCGGACGAGGCCGATGTAGACGTAAGAAACTGTCAGACACACTCTCTGACACATTTGTACTGGCCAATATTCAGGAGTGTGTATGTGTGTTTGTGTGTGTGTACGTGTCAGACCAAGCTAAGCAGACTGTGTGAACAGGACAAGGCTGTGAGGACGCAGGAAGAGAAAATGCAGCAGCTTCACAGAGAGAAGGTAGAGCAGTGTCTCTCTGTCTGCCTCTGTCATCACATGACACCGTAGTTGTGGTTTTTTGTAAAGTTGGTGTTTAAATTAGGGATGTCCGAAGATATTGGCCGACCGATATTATTGGCCCGATATTAACATATAATTTAATATCTGTAAGAATTGTTATCGTTTTTTCCTCTGATAATAAAAACCCAGTTACGCAATGCCAGGGTTTCGCCAAAATGTGCCCAACATATTTTTGGTGAAAGTCACTAGATGGCAGCATTGCAGCTCATTTAATTAATCTCATACTCATACAGTGGTACATGTTTGTACAGATAAATAAATAAATATTACCAGGCCTATATCAGTATCGGTTGATATCAGAATCAGAATTTAGGTGTTTGGACAATATCGGCAAAAATATAATATCGGACATCCCTAGTTTAAATCCATTATTTACATCTATGTCAATGATCTTTGTGATATGACATCCCCAATTTTAACCAGGAAATCACTGAAGATACAATTTCTTTAGTGATTTCTTTGTTTTTTTTATTTTGTAAAATCGGACCATTTTGTTTCCGGTGGCAGCTGGTCTTATTTGAACACATTGTAGACGTCGATGGCCATAGGAATAAAAGTGTGTGTGTCTCTGTGTGTGTGTGGCAGGACACTTTGGAGACGGCTTTACTCTCAGCCAGTCAGGAGCTGAGTGAACAGAGCGACTGCAGCGCTGCAGCCACACAGAGTCTGGGTCAGCAGAGAGACGTGCTCCAGAGTGGCCTGCTGAGTACTTACAGAGAGCTGTACAGAGTCAACACTGTGAGCAAACCTCGAGACCAAACTCATCACTCATCAAGTAGCGTTAAAGTCGAAATTCAGAAATGATTTAAATATCTATTTTCCCTTTGCCTTTATTGACCTATTGACCTGGTCCCAGGGCAGATGATCACAATGGTCACTGGCGATGATACTAGCGGTCATTTCTGGAACGTGTGTCTTCAACAAAATGCAATTCTTCTCCAGTCTCTGACTGCTGATTGGTCAGATGTTGATTGTTGACAATCATCGTTACGACGTGAAAATTGTCGGATTACAGCTGTCTTTGCCTCGCATTTTGTGGCGCTCATTCTGCGTCTCATATCGCGCAGTGGTGTGTTTCTATTACGCCATTTGCGCATATTGCACAAAATGGCGACCTCTTCGCAAATGTCGGGCCCTAAGTGCATATTTGGCATTTTGATGACACTTTTTTATTTGTGTAGAACCATTTGAAAATCACAAATTTGGCGTGAAGCTCCAAAACCTTCAAACAGGCAGTACCTACAGAAAACACAAAAACAAACACAGGGCTCTTTAATGGGCAAAATTGCCTTAGTCTGGGTTTCTAACACATATTTGCACCTTAAGGAGTGTCTGCCCACTTAAGTGCCACTTTAGAAAACTAGGTTGATGTTTTACAATCTACCCAAATCTAAATATGTGTCAAAACAAGTCGTTCTGATTTCACCCACTTTGTGCAATACAGACAGTGATTCTAAAAGTAGTACCGCCATCCATACTATCACTGCTACCTTTGTGCTGATCCACCACATTTGGTTTACCTGTATGCAGACGACTGTTCGCTATCGTGCGCAACACAAAAGCAGACAACTGACAACAACTGCCAATACATTATTACAGAAATGTGCAGTTACCAACACTATTACTACTATAATTAAGAACTAACTGGCGGCCCGCAGTACAAATGTGGCCTGTCACCATCTTGTGGCAACAACCAAAGATGCAGTTGATGCATTGCAATGCAATGTCCAAAACACGGACAGCTTAGTAGAAAGATTTGACGGCCCAGACTAGAAAGCCAAATGGGCTGTATGTGGCTTGCAGGCCATAGATTTAGGTTAGATTAAAATAACATGTTAATGTAAGAATTCTTAATACACAACCCATATGAAAGTGAAAGTCTGCCCTTGATTAATACATTCTCACAGCAGATCAGCAGGAGTCCTGGACGAGTCTGCTCGCTGTTTTCTGTACAACCATTAAAGATCAGCCAACAGATTGGTTTCCTGGCAGTGTCCGCCATCATGCTGAGTGCTGGTGGACGTAGTGTTGGCAGAGATTTCAAAGCTTCCGAGCCAACAGATTGGTTTCCTGGCAGTGTTCGCCATCATGCTGAGTGTTGGTGGACGGAGTGTTGGCAGAGATTTCAAAGCTTCCTGTGCATGTGCAAAGTTAAAAAACAAAATCATTAAAAGAAATCACAGAAAACACCAACAATCACCGTCATCTGTATAAAATCACAGATATCTGACAATACGCAGAAGGATCCCTGGATAGATATTACCAGAATTATTTTTATTCCATTGCTCTGTGATCAAAAATTACAATAGGGACATGAGAAGTGGAGATTTGTTTTTAAACTGTAGAACAGACATTTTTGGTTTGTGGTTACAGGAGCTGGAGCAGTCGTGGAAGGAGTATAACAGACTGGAGGCAGACGTTAATCTGACCAAATCCAATCTGCTAGAAAAGCTGGAAGCCCTGGGCAGTCCACAGGTTCCACTAACACTCGCACATACACTCACATTCTCTCTCTGTCATTAGATTTACTCTTAGCTTCATTGTTGAAATTCAACTAATCATTAAAGTAAAATCTGACGAGTCAGCTAACGTCACTCCAGCTTCTTAGTAAAACATTAGAAAAAGTAATAAATGAAAAAAAAAAAACCCACTACGTCAGCACAGAAGGAAAATATTAGGGATGGCTTCATAAAACTTTTTCATATCCGATACTGTAACTTCAGATCGGATCGGCTATAGTTGTTTTTGTTTTTCTTCATTTGTTTTTTATTCCGATCCTGGGTATCACGCCCTAGTAAATATCAGTACAGTTAAGTAGTAACCAGATTCATTCATCCATCATTATAAATCAATAGCCAGTAACTGTCTTACTGTGCTACAAATTCTTCCGGTGTTAGTATGTTAGAGCGTGGATGACATCACAAACAGGGTTGCAATATTTCATATTCAAAATTCTTGAAGTGGGCCGGAAAGAACCCCCCCCTGGGACAGTTTTGGCCCGCTGGCCGTTTGTTTGACACCACTGGTTTAAATGTTGAATTTTTTTTTTTTAGCTGAATCTGTGTAAAAGCTCTGTATCCGGCGGCACCTGTAGTCATATCATATCGAGTCGTACCTTAGCCGTGTAAAACTAGTGTCATTCTTTGAGAAGAAATAAAACTAAATGGTATATATGAATCAAATCTTTAAGTGCATTTAGATTTACATTTCAAACCTAGCTTTTGAACGCAACTTTTCGAATGATCGAGATATTAAAAGCATTTTTTGTGTGGGCAGACAGAGCCTCCCAGCCAGTGGCACATCCAGATCCAAAAGGAGCTGTGGAGAATCCAGGATGTGATGGAGGCTCTTTCCAAAAATAGGCAGCAGTGTCGCACAGAAAATGGTGAGTCTGCAATAAATCTAAATAGGTCCGTGTTCAGCAAGTCAGTGTCAGAGAAGTCTGGAGATTAAAGCTGACAAGAGCATCTATGACAGGGGTACTAACCTTTTTGAAACTGAGCGCTACTGGTTTATTACAGACTTCCTGATCAATGTTATAATAATCAGTTCTGGGACATACAACAGCAGACACTTTTCTTACCATCGTCATTGCACCCATTTGAATATCAAGTGGAACTGAATGGAAAAGCACAATAATAGTACAATTGTTGACCCGCTTTTGCAAGAATTTGTATCGCTGCACATATAAAATATAACTGTTTTTTTTAGTTGGCCAACGATGATGGTTCCTCTGTGGTACTTTGGTTTCCTCTCGTGTTATGAGATGGATTCTTTAGTTGCTGGGAGAATGAGGAGACTGCAGGTCTACCACAAAACTTGACGTTTTTCAAAAGGGTCACTAGTGAAAAAAGTTTTCTAACCACTAACCTTTCAAATGCGGCAGGGCTGATTTATCTCTGCTGGCAACCATGTTTCTTTTGGTTTAAGGTTTTTGTCTTGGATTGGTTCTAGTGAGAGAAAACAACAAATACTGTATATGTCAGACTGTGTCAGTATCTCCATTGACAAATTCTGAAAAGGATTTTTATATTTTAAATATCAAAATTCTAAAATCACTTACATCATTTCTCTCTTTGCACTCTGTAGAGATTCCTGGTTCAAAACCTTTATTCAGTCTGCAGAAAAATGAAGTAAGTCAATGTCCCAACACACGCTCACATGGTGCTGCCTGCATTAAACATCCTACACATTGATCTGATACAAAACACTTTATTGTCTAATGAGACAATCAGGAAAATAACTACTTGGATTATCAGCAATACTTTATTCTCAAGTAGTGACACTAGTTTATTTTAGAAAATAACAAAATATCGTCAGTTCTTCAAAGCAGAATTTTTTAGAACTTGAGATTAAGATCTAACGTCTCGTTACCAGACATTGCCGCTGCTCAAACCTCTGGAAGAAGGCGGTGCCATGCCTCCTCGCCCACCCCTTCCCCAGTGCTACCATTCGTCGGAGAGGCCCTCCCACTTGCCTCCCCACCACTTACACCACAATGGCTGTTTGCCACACCAAGCAGCGAAGTCGGATGATCCAAAGACTGCCTCTAGGAATGGAGCGTACAATGTAAGTGTACATACATTACACACTCATGGTAATGAGGGGGCTAAAATGAGGTTCAAAATTTGACCGGCGGGCCTGTTCAGGATAGGTTGGATGTAGAATGTTTGCGGACATAATATAAATAAAATGTACAAGATTAAACCCAAACTTCTACCAGTGGTGGTGGGCCGGATTAGAAAGCCCCGCGGGCTGTCTGTGGCCCCCGGGCCTTAGTTTGCCCATGTCTGACCTAGATGATTTAGAAATTCACAGATACAAGATTTTGGTTTGTCCACTCATTAAATTAATAAATGCTGTTCAAATTTTCAAGTACATTTATAAATACGCCGTGACATGATGCTATACGCAGAAGACGTCTTCATTTACATTCACTGGTTGTAGGCCATACATTGGATTGTGCTACATTCGCTTCCTTCAATTTGTGTTTTTCTTTGGGACTTTTTTGTCCTTCATTAAGGCTCCCAAGCGTAAATGAGACTCTTCTGAAGTTTTTATGTCCTAGATTATGATGTTACCACTAATGTTACAGTATGTGAGTTCTGACGCACGAACCCACTGTTTCTACATACTTATGTTTGCCTCACAGTGTTCCAAAGTAGATTTGATTCTTCTCCACCTGTTTCCTGACAGCAAGGTTCAGACTATCGTCTGTGTAAGAGTGAGCCTGAGCTGACCACAGTGAAGGAGGAAGTGGATGAGGAAAAGGAAAAGACAGAACCCCCAGCTGAGAGTAAAGATACTGCAGTCTCCAAAGGTACAACTATGTACTTGAAAAATTCCCAACTGTCTCATAAATTGACTTAACAAGTTATTTAATATTGAGCCGTGTGAGGTTAAGGTCTTTAGGTAACATCACAAGTAAGATTGATCTCTAATGGTTGACCCACAGTTTTTAAAATATTAAAAACGAAATTAAAAATTAAAGTAAAAATTCATTTTTTTATAGAATCAGTCATGAGTATAAACTATTTCACCAGTGATCTGATCAATGAGAGAATTGTAAGTGGACTCCAAGTTTCAAACCAGATGATTTAAAAGCATTCTATGTCTTCTGTCTCTCCACAGTTCCACCGTGCCCCGTGGGTATAGTTCCTCCCAGGACCAAATCTCCAATAAATCCTCCTGAGTCCTCTACCATTGCTTCTTATGTTACCTTGAGGAAGAACAAGAAGCCTGAGTACAAGTCAGTAAGTAGGAGCAACTTACTGACTGTTGATGGCTCAATCTGATACTCAGGATCGGTATGGGTCCAATATTGGTCATTACAGAATTGAACATCCAGAAAATATATAGCCCTTCTGATACGATACCTAAGCCCAATTGCTCGACTCAACTTTGCGCAACACACCATAAAAACCAACACTATCTGTTTTAAATAAATTATTTCCAAGTATTTTAATGAAAACTACCTTTCCTAAAATATCTATTTTTTGTAGTAAACATTCAACACTGATGTGGCCCACACACCTGATTACTACTTTTCTTGATGGTTTATGCTCTCTGTTGGTCAGCAGTTTTGGAAGCTAATGCTAACCCAGGTCCCAACCAATTGTATGTATTGTATTGTGGTTCTGTAGTGTAGCGGTTTGCAGGCCTGCCTCTCAAGCAGAGAACAGTGAGTCCTGGGTTTGATCTGCAGAGAATCCAAATATTTGGCGCCTCCAAGGGGCAGCCTGGTGCAGCACATCGGCTGTTAACACAAGAATTTCCCCAGTGTGGGATCAATAGAATTCTAATTATATATTTCCTTATTCTTGTGCAGAACCGTCCCAGGAGTTCAACTGATCAGTCAGATTTCAGTCTCGGTGTGAGAGAGATTGGCCGAGCAAGGATGAGCTTGGAGGAACAACTGGAGAGGATTAGAAGAAACCAGGAGGCCCCCCTGCTGAGAGAGAAGAGACGGGAGACCTATTGTCGCTCAACTACCGACAACACTTTGTTGGTCCCCCAGGTTAATATGACACCCACACGGTTAGACACAGTGAAAAAGACAACACGTGCTCTTCATACGGTATTCCCTGCACTAGATTCGCTCTAATTATTTATTTATTATTAATTATTTCTAATTATTTAGCACATTTCTGTTAATTTTTAATACAATTAAACACAATGAGAATATGTCTTTTTCTATGTCTATGTATATTATTTAAAGGAAGTGATTGTATATCTATCACTAACAGTGTGTGTGTGTGTGTGTGTGTGTGTACAGACCCAAGCCCAGCCAAAGCGAATCTGTGCCGATACTGTGAAGCTGGAAGCAGCTTTGCAGCAGCTGAAGTTGGATCTTACTGAACAGAGCAGGACACCTGCTGAGTCTGCGCCACAACCAGCTGATGCCCAGGCCCTTTCACCGGTAGGTTCTTTTCATCACATCTGACTTTTCTATTTCAAAAGTTTATTCATTGAAGGAAGTGCAGTTGTCGTCATTTCTGTTTTCTCCTTCAGGAGAGACAGGAAACTGAGGAGGCCACGAACGAGAATTTAGAGCAGTGCAGACACGCGACTCTACACAGTGTGAAAGAGCAGTTGGAGGAGAGCAACAGCACAGACGGTTAGGTACTGGAACACTGAACAGCAGCTGCATGGAAAAGTAATGTTCCAAAACACTGCACAACCACGTTATAGAGGTAGAGGTACTTGAACACGTCACAGCAATGTCACTGACATACAGTATATAGCTACAGGTTAGTGAGGGGGATGTGTGTGAGTGATTGAAGAGTCACAGGCAGAATTCTGTTCAATTGTGCCCCCTGCTGTTGGAGAGGAGCTCCTACAGAGTCACTCAGTGCAAGCTTGTAGCTATGGTGATAGTTGACAGTGAGTTGGTCTTGTGGCGTGTCGGTAGTTAATATCGTTAAGTTTATATAAGAGTCGCCGTGCTTATTTTTATTTCATTATTATTGTTATAGAGTGCGTTCATAAACCAGTAAGTGAGATATTTATAGTTTTCTGCCTTATATATTGTTCCAAATTTGGCGGTTATGTTGATTGTCAGGTTGATAAGCGCGCTAATGCTAACGATAGACCAGAGCATTCACTGTCTGGTGTTTACCATTTACTTTTATAGTTTTTAGATGTTTACCGACTGAATGAGGTGTGTTTAATTAAGCTATTCTGTTCTTTACTACTGATTTTTTTTCATAACCATAATTCAATGTGGTCAATTTGGACTAATTACACCAATATGTGAACATAGCTTTTTATAGCATATGGTGTTCATAGTTTTTCTATGACTTATCTCTATTATCGTCTTTTTTTTTCAGCACAGGAAGTCTGGTGAGCAGTGACACCTGAGTGGCAACAGGAAGTGACATTTGAAAATGGCGGCCCTTAGAACAAGGGTCTCAAACTCTGCCAGGGTAATTTCATTTCAGGGCCACATAATTGTTTGATATTTAATACAATAAAAAATAGATATTCTAGAAGAAATAGTATTTGTTTAATATAAAAACCATATAATGCTACAGTACAAGCAGCTTGTACAACTCATTTTTTCCATTCTCAAATGACAAATAAATAATTTAAATGAATACAGGTATTTTATAAATTTAAAAAAAACATCAAGGGCCAAATTTAATTAATAGGCAGTTTGAGACTACTGTTTTAGAGCCAAAGTTCAGCTAGCCTGCTCATTTGGAATACCGATGCAAGGAAAGGCTGCCCTGCTAACAGACCAAACCACATGAGGATGAACTGCCAACACAGTAAAGTGAGAGAGAAATATTTACCCATGCCGAAATATTCTGAATGTAACGTTAATTTTAAGTTGTCTTAATTATCTAGAAACATCATCAATACAGAAACATTTCCCAAAGATTTGTTATAATTGTAGTTAACAGGAGTTGATCACACATTCATCTTTAAGTAAAAATATGAAGCTTAAAAAAGGAAGCCAAAAAAAGAGGACAAAAAACAAAACAAATGACAAATCAATTCTTGGTTAAATAATAATTATGCAAAAAATTTTTTTTGTCAGACTTAATAGTCAGTGCTGTCTTCCATTAATCAACTGGTACTTTCAGAATAGTACAAGAATAAAGTGCTGTTCTGAATTTGCTGAGATTTTTATGTAATTATTGATCGTTATTAGTTAATATTATGTTAATTAATCTCCTTTGGTTAGCTTTAACAATGCTAAATAAAACATTCACAATCTTTACTATACGTCTGATTTGGGGCAATGAACATGTAGCAAATATATATACATATCTGTATACACATATTTCATACTGTTCTAAGTAATAAAGCCACAATATTGACATAACAGCTATTTAAGAATTTATAAATGCTAACGACGGGAAGAGAATAATGCTAGCTTATACAGAGTTGCTAGTGGCTAGTGTACAGCAATGTATATAGAAGCAGTGCCAGTGGTCAAAGTGCCAAAACCAAACACATGCAGTAGTTTCTACTTCATCAGAAGTAATCGTCGATGGTCTTTGCTTTTCTGTTGAAGGTTTTTATTTTTATTTTGACAGACCAGCAATGCCCTTATTGCGCTATTCTGTTGTCCATTGTGCAATTGGTTATACATATAAGTAAATACATAGTATCTTAACAGACTTCTGTTTTGACTTTGACAAGGTGCTACTTTGCGCTGCTGCTTTACTCCTCGTTTTCCTTTAGAAATGTTTATTTTGCAGAGAATGAACAATCTTTCTCGCTTCTATCACGATCTCTTCTTGTCTGCTTTTCTGTCCAAACACAGAGGAGCAGTTTTAAAGAGAAGGAAAAAAGAAATGTAAAAAGTGTAATAAATGGATAGAATAAGATAATTTATATACACACTGAAAATAAGAGTGAATATTATTAATATAAAAATGTTATAATATTAATAGGGTCAATATGAAAAAGAAGTTCATAACCATCTGTTTTATAACATGTGAAATAAATGTTGATGTTTTTTAAAAATATGCCTGTAGTTCTTGTTTTATTGTCTGCACCAGTTTAATATTTTCTTGCCCATTTTCTGTGTTTGGCTCTAATGTGACATATTACTCATAATATTTAATGTTGTATGTTATTGTCAATATATGACATACATTATATGTCAATGTTATTGTGAGTCAAAGGTAATGGACACAAAAATGTGAGCAATGATTTTTTTTTTAAAAAAACTTAAAAATAGGGTAAAGCTATAAATACCACCGAATTTGAATGTCAAATTGTTTAACCCTATGTAACTACAATAGTCATACTTTACTTTGAGCCTTTTTTAGCAGCGTTATTATATTTAGAAATGTTGAGACACTCGCTCAACGTTGTAAGTCCTTTGTCATATATCGTAACACTTCGTTTCACAAGGTAACCAAAACAGCAGTACTCAAATGTCTCCTCGTGTGTTTTAATATTTTCAGCACTTTTCAGCATGGGTCGTTTTCTGTTTGTCAGAACACGTGGAGCTGAGAGGTTACAATGCCAAAGATCGTCTATGTCCGTGAGGATGACTTGATAGTGTGGCAGTTAGGAAGCTATACTGTGTAGCAGAAAAATAGGACCGCGTAACTATTGTATGGCCTTAAACGTTGTAAGCCAATAAGTGGGAGTAATAGTCGTTAATGACCTTAAAATGTAGCAAGGGTTGGTATTGGTACAAACGCTGAGCTTTGCAAACAAGACTCCGAAGCAATTTCGGATGAGAGCGAGATGTTTCCTCCACACACCAGCTTCAACGACTCCGGGCTTCGACGTCACGTAAATTATCCTCTGTGTAGTATACTTGAAACAGAGCGTGAGTGGAGAGAGTGGGTTGACCAGTTGGTTTATTTCGAGAATATCACAAGAAACCGAATCGTTTTACTTTTTAATGGCTCACGACATACGCGACGAGACCGAGCAGAGGTCCAACTTAAAGCCAGAAAGAAACGGTGGCAGTGAAACCACAGAAAGAGAGTCGGAGGAACAGGCCGTGTCGGACCCAAAACAGGAACCGGGCGACGAGATAGTTGGAATGAACGTGAGAGGTGCTACTGGTTCGTTCACGGAGCACTGTTTAGATTCGCTCCCCGTCCCGGGTTCTGATAAAGAAGCCGGTATTCTGATGAGGAACCAACATATCGACGAAGCCGGCGATGAACTCTCTGAAGCTGGTAAAAGTCCTGTTCAGGGGAGTTTGGCGAGCAGTGTCGACAGTACGCAAGAGGGCTCTCGGGTGCTGAAACAGGAACAAAGGAAGGGAGAGAACGTGCCCTCTCCCTCACCATCTGCCGGGTGCACAAAGACAGCGGAGAGAGCGACCCACGGCACCAAGAGACGGGCCAGCCAGGAGGTAACTTCGTCGGATGGAGAGCCGCTGAGCCGCATGGATTCAGAGGACAGGTCTGTTAGAGCTGTGATTAGGCCTACAACGGTGTCCGCACGAGCACGGAGGTGCTTCCAGGTCTGAAACACGTTCCCGGTGTGTTAGAATATAACCAGCTTTAAAACGGATGAACGGTCTTATTATTATATTTTTTTTTTTTTTGAAAAAGTAAATTAATTAAGTTATGAAACTACATTAGACATTGTTTTGAAAAAGTAAATTAATTAAGTTATAATACTACATTAGGCATTTTGAAATTTGAAATGTAATTCTTATATCCAAAGATGTGTCTTTAGAAATCTAAAGGAATAGAAGTTTTCTTCTCTAAGTTAATAATAATAATAGTTAATAATAATAGTTAATAATAATAGTTAGTAAGACAACGTTATTGATAATTCAAGTCCATTTTGGGATATATCTGAAATTGCAAAAAAAATCGTTTAATTTGAAAAGTTTTCTAATGAAAATTAAATAAAAATAATAAAAAATTTAAGGGATATATGTTTAAATTATATTAACAAAAGGCTCTAATGTGTTTTACAATTACAGAATATTTAATAAATGTTATATACAAAAAAATCCTCAATAAAGACAGTTAGAAAAGATCCATAAACGGAGCAAGCTTTTTGGCATTTGGTGGAGTTGTTGTTGGGTAAACTTCAAACATGCAAAAAAATAAATAGATAAATAAAACTACCGGCAGATCATAATATAAGCGTCTTGTTCACTAAGGAAACTAAACAATAACATTTACTCCAGAACTTGAGTTTTATTTTATTAGCTCTGTTGTCAACATAGTCTACAAGTTTACCAACTCACTATATGTAATATGGGATTGTAAACAAATTGGTTGATAAGTGCAACAGCATGATATATATGTGTGTCTGTGTATGTACGATAAACATGATATAAATATATATGTGTGTATATATGTATATTCATATATACATATATTTATGTATGTATATATATATGTTTTGTATATATGTGCATGTATGAATATATATGTACATATGTACACATGTATACATAAACACACACAGATATATATATATACATATACATTGCTACATGACAATTTGAGTGTTTGTGGGCCACATTAATTGCTCTTGCGAGCCAGATTTGGCCTGCAGTCCTTGAGTTAGAAACATTCCCAATGCATCGTCATACTGCACACTAGAATGAGTTAGAAACATTCCCAATGCATCGTGCATCGTCATACTGCACACTTGACATTTATAGTTTCTGCCAGGCTCCTCATCAAACCTTGGTCCTCGTGTAAAGTTTTATCAAGGAAGGGTCGTCGTGTTTACTTTTTGATCTGTCGTCTTCAGGTCAAGTGTCACGTCTTACGATGTTCTACCTCTGTTTGCAGTATCAGCAGCACCCTGGTAGACATGGAAAGCATGGCATCGAGCGGTCGCTCGACTCCAGCCATGCTAAACTGCAGTGGGACGGCTCTGTCCAGCAGCAGCAGCAGCTCCATACCGGTGTGTGGCAAGTCTCTGAGCTACAAATGCTGCTGGGATCACTGCCAGATGCTGTTCCCGAGCAGCCCAGACCTGGCTGAACATATCAGGGCAACACATGTGGACGGTCAGCGTGGAGGGGTAAGTGCAACACTAACTATTTGATTACTAAGTGATCATGACTATTGGCTAAGTCGATATCAGCGTAAGCCGATCTGTGGTGAAGAAAGTGTTGACTCCAGCCGCTGGAGACATCGACTTGTGCCAATCACATGAAGATGTTTCACCTCTCACAGCCAAGATGGTTACTCAGCTTGTTTTCTTATTTCCGTTTTTTATTGATCTGTGCTGCGGACATTTGTACTCGTAGCCATGTGAACTCATCTCTGAGTGCATGAGTATTTAAACTTCTTAACTTGCACTATAAAAAAAATCCCAATATAAAAATAATTTACCTCGCAACTAGGGGTGGCTCGATCAGATACTCAGGATCGGTATCGGTCCGATATTGGTCCAAATTTCAGCATAGAACATTGGGAAAAAAACAACACGAGGTGATGGATCGGATTAGCTATATCGTCGGATCTGTCACCTGAGCCTAAATGCTCAACTTAACTTTGCACGACACTACTGCCTCAGCATTGACACCCCCATGGTATACTGGAGTCGAAAGGATGATATCGGATGTACAGTATATCGGTATCATCAGATGCTCCAGTATCGGTATAAGTTGTATTGAGCCATCACTATTCACAACAGCAAACATTTACATTAATATTGCAGCATTCTTGCTCCGTCAGCTAACTCCAAACTTGAGTTTGCTACTCTACGCTAGCTATGATTTTTGAAGTAGGGAATGATTCACTCCAATTGTTCCTATTTGTTTGGTGTCATATTTTTTTTTAGCATATAGCATGATTTTTTTTTATGTTTCCCATGATACTATGCTAATGTGGATGTGTATGTCCAACAGGTGTTTGTGTGTCTGTGGAAGGGCTGTAAAGTGTACAACACACCATCAACCAGTCAGAGCTGGCTGCAGAGACACATGCTAACCCACAGCGGAGATAAGCCATTCAAGGTAATACCGCAGACAGGTTTCAGTAGTCCATTATCCAGTGATAGTAGATAGGCTCATCTCTAATCCTGGAACTGTTTGCTCCTTTCACATCACATTTATTTTATTTGTTATGGTAATTTCTGCGGGTCCTTCCCTAAGCAAGTGAACAGGTGGTAGTGGTTAGTCGGTTTAATTATATTGAGTGGTCTCAATCTGGCGTGGGCGGACGGCCACTGCTGGCACTGCTCTTGGTTTCAAGGGCAACATCAATGTTCGAGGTTAATTACAAAAAAAAGATATATTGATATACAGTATATGTATTATATTACAGTATATTGCAAACAACTAGTACCAATCTCTTTTCTCTCATTCTTGAATGGCCAACTACAGCATCTAATAATTGTTTGAAAAATTCAATAAATGTAATTGTTTGTTGGTACCAAATTGGTATCAGAGATTCAGGGAAAAAAGCTTGAAAGAATCTTGGAAAGACACTAAATCAGTGGTCACCAACCTTTATACCAAGGACCAGTTGGCCTTTCAGACTTTATTCTGTTAGTATCAGAATCTGAGTGAACTGTTGTTTTGAAACATTGCCAGATTATCTTTGAATGTAAAAAGGAAAGTGATGTGACTGGATTCTTACTGAATGAAGTAAATTAGTAAAACTGAAGTACATTTTTTCACTGTGTCCTACTGCGATACAGTACAAAATGACGTACGGATCGGATCGGGAACCTCTGCACTAAATCATTGTTGGATGCCCCAGTTCTGGCAATATGAAATCAAATCATCTCCTCTCTGTTGCTGCAGTGTGTCGTGGGGGGATGCAACGCCACATTCGCCTCACAGGGTGGGCTCGCCCGTCACGTCCCCACCCATTTCAGCTCACAGGGCTCGTCCAAATTATCCAGTCAAAACAAACCAAAGGAGGAGTCTCCGTCCAAGGCGGGCCTCAACAAGAGAAGAAAACTGAAGAACAAACAACGGCGCTCACTGCGTAAGACTATCACCTTCATAAACACAACAACAGCAGTGTAATGTGTAAAGTGTGGGATCATCAGTTCTCACACACACACACACACACGTCACGTTGTTCTTCCTTTAGCCAGACCTCATGACTTCTTTGATGCTCAGACCATGGACGCCATCCGTCATCGAGCCATCTGCCTGAACCTGGTCACACACATTGAGAGCTTGGGCAACGGACACAGCGTCGTCTTTCACAGCACGGTGAGCTCACACACACACACACACACCTGAGTGTATTCATACATGTACATAAATACAACACAAGTACTGCTTCGATTTATACGTTGGCTTATAATTAATTGGTTACATGAATTTTGTAATTCAGATGCAGCATGTGTGGTCAGCTGTGAAGTACGGTCCAATTACATGACACAGTGTTACGGTGTAATATAAATGCAAATTGTATTCACGATGCAAATCAGTGGGATTAAATGTGATTTTCATGCATATGATGCATAGATGTTTGACTGATTATTCGCAAAGCCCATGTAATTTGTAGCAAATTGGATATTTAGTTATGAGGTAGTGATATTAATTATAGTAAGGAAAGAAAACCCCTGTGTAAATGGATAGTGTTTAACCAGTGGTGTACCGTGTATTTCTCACCTAGGCCTTCAGTGGTGTTGTGGCCATAGAAACCATCAATATTATACAGTATTATAGTATTACGATGCTAGACAACTCATGTAGCCATTATAACGCCATTACTAAATCGTCCATGCTAGTGCTGAGTCCAGTCCAGTCATATTTATGGCTTAGGTTTTAATTCGCTTCAGACTGAGAATGTCCGCTCAACAGTGGAAGTCGCTAAATGTAGTTTGCTAGGTTTGAGCGTTTGCGTTCTCTGATCATCCAGTCTAATCACTCTAATCCTGATACAACATTATTGACACCTGCTAGAAGGCCTCTGTGTTGCTAACTCTAAATCTAATTGGGTAATGTAACAATCTCACTGACATTCATTGTAGGCTCCCAGTGGCAGCACTACTGATTCTGAAGGCCTTAGGGCAGATTTCTTTCAACCTGGCAACACATGACGTGAAATATGATTGTATAAAAAAAATTCTTGAGTATACGTGACTGGAAGCAGCTCAACCAAGAGAAATGCTGAGAATGAGAATACTGCTCAGTAATTTTTTTAAACTGCCTGTCATAGAGCTTGTGGACTTGTTTTTTTTATTTATTTAGGTAATAGCCAAGAGAAAAGAGGACTCAGGCAAAGTAAAGGTTCTTCTGCACTGGACACCTGAAGACATGTAAGACTTACTGCTTTCCTTTTTTATCTTAAAGCAGTGTCTACGTCCTGTTTTAATAATTTGCCTGATATATCCTAGATTATGATGTTACCACTGTGTTAGCATAGCTGAGTGACAGAGGTACAGTATGTGATTTCTGACTTAAGGTGAAAATCGAGATACGTTGTGCCGTAGGAACCTAACTCCAAAGTAAGCTGATGAATTTGCAAAGCGCACTTCGTCAAAATAATTGTGACAAATCCCAGGGTTTTTTATAACAACTATTTTTGTCATCAGATTATTGGGGGTTTTTTTGTTTGTTTATTTTTTATTAAATGTTTTGACTGTGAATCTCCACAGACTGCCTGATGTGTGGGTGAATGAGAGTGACCGGCCGCAGCAGAAGACGAAGGTAGTTCATCTGTCAAAGCTTCCCACAGACACTGCTGTTCTGCTCGACCCCAGCATTTACAGGTGCGTGATGTTTGAGTGTGTGTGTGTGTGTGTGTAAGTTTACTGGCATCATTTACAACCATTCAGTTGTTGTCGATAAACAGCGCAAACAAGAAAAACATAAATGGCTCCACACAACCAGTTTGGCAGGTGGTTTGTCAAAGATCAGCACAGGTTGATTATTTTAGCGACTACTGCCGTATCATAATTATTTTACCACATAGGAGCAGTTGTCTGACTTCACTGATCAATAAACAACACACTATTAATTTAGGCGACAATGCTGTTGTTTCCAAAGTCACAAAATCTCTGGATTTTTCTATACTCCAGCAGCTAATGCTAATAAAGAAATGTTGTCTCAGAAAAACAAATACATGAACTTCAGCAGTTTCAAATGTTAATCTCAATGGATGCATAGAGTTATCAAACATTTTAGGTTTTAAAATAAAAAAAAGGTCCACATCCCTTTGGTTGATTAAAGGGGGGGGGGGGGCTCGGGGGCCATAAAATAAAAACCCCTAGTTATATAATTGTTTTTCAACCTTGGGGTCATGGCCCCACATAGGGTCACCCAGAATTTTAATTAGGGTCGCCTGGAATTTCTAGTAACTGATAAAAAAAAATGTTTCTACTTAATAAAAAAATTAAAGTATGATCATAAATGAATTAAAATCTAATTCTTAAAAGAAAAAAGTTGATCTTTTTGGTGCCTGCTTTTAGTGACTTAGCTTACCAGGGTCTCCCTGGTTTTCAGGATTACACAACATCATCTGTGTTTAACTCTCACCCGAAGCAAAAATAACTGTTTTGAAAAAAAAATCTAACCAAAACTCTTTCTTCCACAGGATGTTCTTTTAACAACGTTGAGGCAGCTTTGGGGGCGTCTTTCTGCTGAGCACACCATGGAAAGGTGTCCACATCTTTAACCACACCTCTCTCGCTCTCCAGCCTGAAAATTCTGGAGGTGTGGTTAAGTGCTTAGTTATATTTTTAAGTAATGACAGTTCACTGACCACTAGAAGGAGATGTTGCTACATTTAGGTAACACAACTAGACTGACAACATACTTATGTGTTTACTGTAGTGAAATAGAAATAGTTAGAATAAAGCAGCCTGTAAATACTTGAGATTTGTAATATATTTTTTTACTTACACTTTTTTTACTTCTTTGTAGATATGTTATTTTGTCTCACCTGACAATTTTAAATAGATGTTTAAAACAGATGTAGATGTAAAGTATTGCAGGATTGCAAATAGCTTTGCTCTGTTATTTTGTTAATAAACTTTTCCAATCAAACTTTCTTTGTGTCACTTTGAACCCTGTTCACCCTCAGTATTACAAATTAATCACTCTTAGAGTACAGTGCAGTACACGTTACTTATACACAAGTTAAAATGTTTCTGCTCATTAAATACTCTTGGCCTGTGTGCAACTATTTCTCAGTGCTGCCCATGCGTAAGCAGGCGTGTGCTAATGTCTCTGCCGACTGACATGTGTTAGCAGTAGCACTAGCACTTTTCTAGTGGCAAATTAAAACCCAAATCCCAAGAGCAACTGATAAAACCTCTGCTTATGATTATACAGTGCATTATTATATTTAATGCAGTCTGCAGAGATTTATGGGGATACTGCTTTTGAGACTGTGCACAGCTTCAGAAAAACCTTCTAAAAGGCTGTTATTGGCCCAAAATACATCCTCTTTAAATTTAAATGACAATTGCATAGGTCTTTAGGTTCAAGTTTTCTGATTTCTAAATATTCCATTGTATACAGCAACATCTTAATTGTAAATATATAGAGAGAACTTAAGTTTGACAGTGATATTAATAAACGAAAAGGATGCAAATATATTTAATTCCACTTTCTGGAGATCAGTATATCTAAAAGCCTGGGGGGAAACGTAACAAAATAAAGAAAAAGACGACAGCAACACTTAGTCGTATTTATTCGTTATATTTACATTTAAATACAATGTTACATAAAACAAAATATAAACATTTGGTTTTGAGACTGCAGGAGTTTTAAAAAATATTTTAATTGGTTTATCAACAGCCATGTGTGACGTATTATTTGTTTGCCGGAAGTGGCAAACGTAAGCGTTTCCGGAAGCGAGTCGAGTATGGCAGGAGTATTAAAGAAGGTATGATTAGAGGTCATATGCTGTGTTTGTTTCATACATTTGCACACTTTAAGTTATAAATGAGAAATTAAAAAAACAACAACTAGTTTTCATACTAAACTGCTGCAACTGTGTGTCGGCGGACACCTTGTCTTCTGTCCTCGGTTTGTTAGCGCAAATAGCAATAGCAAAGGCTAACACAAACAAAGGCAGTAAGAGAGAGGTTAAAATATTACATCTGTTATACTGAGGATGAGGGAAATGTCACATGGATATTACATTATTTATTAGAAATAGAACATATTAAAATTGTTGATTACCATATATGACTTTTAGCAGACAGTCCGCTCGATCTGTTTGACTTGGGTTGACAATCAATAAGGATTTGGTGTATGTTTGATGCAAGTCTGGGCTGAATATTTGCAAATAAAGAATGGGATTGCTAAGATATGTCTTTCAGAAAAAGTACTTTAGCATTTTGTGCACATTAATTTAGAATCATTCTCTGTGGGCAAGCTGGAACTAAAGGTACATTGCTACACATTAAACATAGTGATAATATCACCTGTTTGGTTTAAAGGCATGTTATTCACAGAGGCAGCCCCAAGGTCACATTCAGCGTGAGATTAATGTTAAATTTATAGATAAAATACTGTGAACCCATGAAAGGCATGTTATTCACAGAGGCAGCCCTAAGGTCACATTCAACGTGAGATTAATGTTAAACTCATAGATAAAATACTGTGAATCCATGACATCTATTACACTGTGATAGGTACACGGAATACAACTGCAGGGCTTTTATTTTGAAGGGAACATTTTGGTTTGTTCATAGATGGAACTTTATTTATTCATAATTTAAAAAAAACTTAAACTTATCTTTATTTGTCATTGTGACACAGCACAGCACAGCACACCATGCACAACGAAATTTGCCCTCTGCATTTAACCCATCACCAAAGTGAACAGTGGGCAGCCGTGGTCGGCGCCCGGGGAGCAGTGCTTGAGGACGATGCCATGCTCAGTGCATCTCAGTGGCAACCTGGCAGTTGGTGGATTCGAACCTGGGGCCTTCCAGACCAAAGTCCACCTCCTTCACCACTAGGCCACCACTGCCCCACAAATATAACACATAATATAGGCTCCATCAGCATTACAGCATCAAAACAGTAAAAACATATTAAAATACAAACATGAGTAGCAGCACACCGTCAATGAATATGGAAAACCTGAACAGTGGATGTTAGTAGATTGGTAGGTTAGTAGAAATAGATAGATACATTAGTGTTAGTAGCATTAGTAGACTAGTAGGTAATTATTGTTGCGGTGCTGTCGATTGTAATCTCAATTATTATTCATTATTATTATAAGTTAGCATAGCTCTGGTCACTTTGCTTCACTCACCTTCACTCGAATATGTCAGTGAATCTGTTTCACCAGCTTTGTAATCTCACACAGTTGTAAGAAACAGTAAGACATTCTCTGATTGGAAGTTTTTCCAAAGAAACCTTATTCAGACAGGTCGAGGATATCAGAGATTCGTCCTTTCTCTTATCGTTGCTCAAATACACAGTCGATACACACGTTAAGTACCATATCGATATCTAGCATGTCTTTGTGCTAAGTTTTTTGTCATTTTTCCATTTTAGTTCCATCATTTGTACAGGTCACAACTAAAAACAGTTGTGAAAGTTAATCTTCTGCTGCTCTTTTACAGACGACCGGTCTGGTGGGCCTTGCTGTGTGCCAGAACCCACATGAGGTAAATGCAAATGCATTTTAATTAACAAGAAAATATTCGTGGCATTGGTTCAGTTTCATGTTACATTTCGACCTTTGAGCACTGGTTGATTGTTCAAGGACTGCACATATTTGAAACTTTGTGTTTTATATTTTTATTCCTGTTTTTTATTCCTTCAGACTCTACATATTCTGTATTCAAAAACCTTGGCAACTCTGCAGCGGATGCCACAGGACGCTGCCTACAGAAAGTACACGGAGCCCCTGATCAATGAGCGCTTCAATCACGTCCAAACGGTCAGCAAGGGTCGCGTACGTGTATATAGGTGCATGTGCAACAGTGATTAAAATGAAAAAAAATGTCTCTCTCAACAGGAGCCAGATATTGAGAAGCTTGAGAAGAAACTGAACTGTGGTCAAATTGAAGAAATTGTTTTCCAGGTATGTCGTCACACACTCAGCTGCTCTGTTATTACAAATAAGAAATACAGGTTTAACATAAAGTCACGCTGTGTAGAAATGAGCAACACCTACTGGTGAAGCTACATTATAGGGTTACTTGACCATTACTGTCCAAACGACTAGAACAGGCATGGGCAAACTAAGGCCCGGGGCCGGATCCAGTTTGTTCATCTTTTTAATCTGGCCTGCCAAACCTTTCCAAATTATATAATCTGTTCATATTATCATTATACTTCCCTGCAATACCCACGTTTTCCCAACAGATGGCATAGAAAATGATAAAAGCATTTTAGCCTTTATGTTTGACTTTTACATGTCATTTATCTTAGTTCACACGAACCCTCCATCTATCTCCTCCTGACCTGGCCCCCCTGTTCAATTTTAGGACAGGTGTGGCCCACAAGTCAAAAAGGACTAGTAATTCATAAATGACAGAAATACAGAATATTTTAGTTTACAGTATTTTCTGTAAGACCATGTATAATTGTATAATCCATAGTCTCCTGTCCTTGGATTAAAATCAAAGGCTTATTTTGGGGTCATGATGGCCAAACATTGGGGCATTTTTTTTTGTACATTTTTTTGTAAAAGTCAGAGTGTAGTTAGCATCTCGCACATTGCTTCGCTTTTTTTTAAGGATGTCTCTGAAAATTGCACTTTTGCACCTCGGGTTAGTTTAATGAACCCTAGTCTTTCAGACAGGCTCTCTTGGGGGTTTTCACACTTGCCTCCAGGGCAGATCCAGTTTCCAAACCCACTTTTGAACCAGTTGGACCATAACAATAACAGGTCACTAAAGGTCACTGTATTTTGTTTCATGATACTTGATCGATATTTGTTCTGTCCAGCATATATATGTTTATATGCAATATTACAGGCACCACAATAAATTGAGTGTTTTTTAAACAACTTAGTTGTAGGAAAACTGTCAGCATTGTACAACGGTGTTACATAGGTCATGATGGCCAAACATTGGGGCATTCTCAAAAAGCATTGTACAATGGTGTTACATGCTTAACATCAGGTCACTAAAATTGGAACAGCGGGATCGACTTCAACATCATCTGTTTTTAACCTTCCTACCTGAGTGACTGTTATGTCGCTTAATGCTCTGTGTGTGTGTGTGTGTGTGTGTGTGTGTGTGATTGCAGGCAAAGTGTGAGCTGGCCCTCTCCAGAAAGATGTACCAATGGAAAGTCTGGGAGCCACTGATAGAGGAACCTCCTGCCAACCAGTGGAAGTGGCCAGTCTGAGTCTTCTTTTGTTGTGTAAAAAAATGTAAACATTTGACAAACTGATATCATTAAACTTATTATAAAAACTGCTGGTGTGGTTTGGTTCACTATAAGAGTGGAGGTACGCGAACTAGATGTTAGTGTCCCGATGATCGATACCCAGTAGCTAGCCTAATACGAGTTTAATGATAATCAGTAGACACATGGAGGATTTCTCCTAAAAAAGTTGGGGGTGTCCTCTGGATGGAAGATCTTCTCAGTTGTGGACCACGAAGTGTTTTGGCCTTTTATCCAAATACACCCTCAGGGTTAGGGCTTTTGGATTGCGACAGAGTAGTTGAGATTAGGACTAGGGGTTTAAATTGGGATAGAGAAATTGAGATCAGGGTTAGGGTTAAAATAGATGATAGATTACCCAGATGCAGTAAATAGATTCTAAATGTAATCTTCATGTATTTTGGTTCATTTTCATGCATTTAAACTCTATAATAAAGAAAGTCTTGGTGATTGTGATCCAAACCTATAAGACGGTATTATAACATAAACACTTAGGGAGAACCATATAAGGTAAATACAATTGGTTCATGGACCACAGTGTTTCACGGAGCATCTGGGCCTTTAGGTAACTGATTTCAAACAATGGAGAACCCATGATAATATATTTATATTAGGAACCAGAAATATGAAAGAAATAATATTTTGTGACAATGTAATATTTGGAAATAAGTCTCTTCTTTTTTATGTACCTGGAACACAGGAAAATGGCTCACACAGACTGTGTGTTTCCCTGTGGTTGATCAGTGTCATCACACTCACCTGTGTTTTCTGAGTCACTGCTCATTAGTCGTCACTCGTGGCACCTTGTGCCCTGGGTATATATACCTCTCTCCATCACTCACTCTTTGTTTGGTCGTTGGTCAGTGTGGTTCAGGGTTATGGCTGCAGCTCATGCTGGTTCTTGAGTTCTTGTCTGTGGTATTTTTGTGTTTTTTGTTTCTGCCTCGTCCTTGTATCCAGAAGTGAATGAATTTAAGTTTGACTTTTGTTTAGTAAACTCTTTACACATGATTGTCGCTGTCTCTCGAGGACTGCACTTTAGGTTCTGCCTGCTTCCTTGGAATTCTTAAATGTGATGCATTTAAGAAAAAAAAAAAAGTTCTATTTGTGCTTGAGTTCAGACTTGAGAGAGTTGAGATTTCACACTATTTTGTGGGAAAACCCATCAAATCCATGAGATGTCTTCAAAGCCACAGCATCAATTTGTCAAACCTATGTACATGCCAAACATCATGTGGACCTATGGAAAAATATGCACCTCTAACAAACCGATGTGCCCTACACAATGTTCTGTGTGGGTTGAGATGATGGAACATCCTAAGGACTGCCTTGCCTCTAACATGGAATCCATGTGTTGGCTCTAATGTCAGCCACATTATTCCATAGCCAAACACTTGTCCGGGTCCACACAGCTCTCACATTATAGCGTTTCTAACCTAATATGTTGAGGTGTAGTTGGTTCATCTCCTCAGTCCTAACTACTTCAACCATGCTTTCATGGCTGTGAGGGAGATCATGTTACGACGATTTGAAAGCATACCAAGAATGACATGTAGTGATGGTCAGACGACGCTTTCCGAAGCACTGAAGCTTTCGTCTTTGGGGAAAATCTGATGGCCTAAAGTACCTTGGCTCTACAACTTCAAAATGGAAACTTTATTGTGCTTAAGTGCACTAGAGCACTATATATGTATATATAGTGTGTGTCTGTGTTATTTATTTTATTTTTTTTTATTTATTTTCCTCTGGGTGTGGGCACCGCGGCCAAAAAGGTTCGAGAACCGCTTAGTTTGTCTTTTTTTAAACAGTCCCACTGCTGGTCGGTAGAGGGTGTTAGAGATGCCTCTCTCTGTGGTAGATGGGGAAACCTCCTCGCCCTCCTTAAGTGGTCCTGATGCTGTGTATGCGCATGACGTCATCTATTTTCCTCGCGACATGCTGTATGACTCAACTGGCCTTCCTAGCGCACAGCATCAGCCTCCAGCTGACAGAGCGGTGTTGTTTTCATCACTTTAAAGCAAAGAAACCGACCGCCTGTGCCTGTGCGCGTCCTTCTCCCTCGTCCACATTTGCGTTACCTGCCGTTTCGTTTTAGCATGGCTGAAAGCGAGGCAGAGACGCCGAGCACTCCGATTGAATTTGAGAGCAAATACTTCGAGTTCGATGGAGTGCGGCTGCCGCCCTTCTGCAGAGGGAAGATGGAGGAGATCGCCACTTTCTCTCTCAGAAATAGCGACGTGTGGATCGTCACATATCCAAAATCAGGTACAGACGCTCCTGCTGTAGGTCGTGGACCACGTAAATGAACACAGGCGTGTACAGTAAGCAGTACGCCTTCAGCCGTGTACAGTAAGCAGTACGCCTTCAGCCGTGTACTACCGTTCTTACATACTGTATCTTACAGGTCAACGGCATCTCTTTGGTTTATTGGACCAAGTCTGCGTTATTTAGTTGTTTAGTCCTACCTTAAAATCTGTCATCAGGCTTTTTTGGGCCTAATGAAAACACAGTATAAGCAGCCAAATAGTATTAATATAAAAAATGTGAATTACTCACCATGGATTTGTTATAAACACAAGGAAGTTTTGTATTTGACCACTGTATATAAATCATTGTTTCCCAAAGACTGGGTCGTGACCCTCAGGTGGGTCGCAAGATGGGGTTTTTTTGAGGGGGAGGGGAGTACGTTTGATACTCCCTCCTTGGTTTTTCCTAACTTAAGCAAAAGCCATTTAAATGTGAGGACATTTTTTGTGTGAAGTCCCATAAGGATGAGTGACAAAGCACAAGTGGCTTTGGTTCATTTTGTGCAAACCCTTCATATCTGTCTTATAAATAAAATGTCAATACTAGTTTAATTCAGTCCATGATTTAATTTTTTTTATTGTAATTCCAATTGTGGATGGTTTCATACATTGTCTATATTCAACAAAAAATACTTTTACTAAAACATTTTAGTTTATTTTGTGTTGGACATGGATTTTAACATGACTTTGAGATCGCTGATTTAGTGAAACTGAAAAAAAGTTTGGGTAACACTGATTTAAACACAAAAAATGAATAAAGAAATTAAAGCTTCAGAAGTACGTTTGATACTCCCTCCTTGGTTTTGTACTAACTTGAGCAAAAGTCAATTAAATGTGAGGGCATTTTGGGAAGTCCTATAAGGATCAGTGACATTGAGATCGCTGATTTAGTGAAACCTATTTGGATGAGGCAGGTCATAAGTTCATTCTAACACAACATACCTCCTTCTAATTCTCTAACTTTTGTCTTCACTCCTGAAGGCACCAGTCTACTGCAGGAGGTTGTGTACTTAGTAAGCCAGGGAGCAGATCCAGATGAGATTTCCCTAATGAACATTGATGAGCAGCTGCCTGTTTTGGAGTATCCCCAACCTGGCCTCGATATTATAAAGGTACAGAATCATCATTATTAAGGATGTCCGATATTCTCCAAACGCATAATTTCCGATTGGCCTGGTAATGTTTATTCATTTATTTGTACAAACCACTGTGTGAGTTGTTGGCACCAGCATTCTGCATACAATCGCCTGATCATTAAAATTAATTAAATGAGCTGCAATGCTGCCATCTAGTGACTTTCACTTTATATACAGCCGTTTATCCCCAAAACTATTTTTAGGGCACACGTCATTTGGCGAAACCCAGGCACTGTGTTATCGGGTTTACATTGTCGGAGAAAAAAACGATAACGATTCTTACATAACTATGCTAATTGGCCGATATAATCGGACATTCCTAATAATTATCATTATCTGTTATACGATGGTTTTCAATGTTAGGAAAATGTGTTGATACATTTTTAACTGCACTTGCCTTGTCCACCCAAACAGGAGCTAACGTCTCCTCGTCTGATCAAAAGCCATCTCCCCTATCAATTCCTCCCTACAGCAATGCACAATGGGGAAGCTAAGGTAAGCGGCACAAGTCCAGTACTCAAGAGCAGTATTTTGAAAATAGTACTCAAGATGAAGAAGACAACAAATCTATTACAAAAATGAACTTCTGTCATTAATCGAGTTTCTTTGTAAACACATTCCAAATACTCTTACAAATAACCACGTTGATTGTAATTCAACTCCCTGGTACTTCAGTTGTGGATTTCTTCCAGGTTATCTATATGGCTCGTAACCCTAAGGACCTGGTGGTGTCCTATTACCAGTTCCATCGATCTCTCAGGACCATGAGCTATCGTGGAACTTTTCAGGAATTCTGTCGACGCTTCATGAACGACAAGTGTAAGCATTAAGCTTATCAGTTGAATGGAGCGGTGTACTGCGAAGTGAGTTTAGGGTTAGCGCTGGTTAAGTTGAGTCTAAAGCCAGTCTTTGGTGTACTACACAGGTGGTTCTCTTTTAATCGAACTAGATCAAGTTTCAGCTTTAAATCATCTATAATGTATTTATTGTCATTGTACAGAGAGCGTAGATTTGCTGGTTCATTCTAAAATGGGTAAAAAAACCAAACATTGTTACTAACACTAAGCAGTAAAATATTTAAAAAGAATACAGACATCATTCGAAAAGGGTCTGGTTAATATATAAAAGTTTTCCAATTTTGATCTTTCATAAATTTAAACACTAAGGTCATAATATGTTATTAAGCAATGCTTTGGTGTGAACGCCTGATTGGGGGCTTTAGGTTTTCTTAAACGACCATGAACACAAAGCCTGGGTATGTTGAGCCTCCTTCGCAGTACAGGCCTCAGGACTCCTGACCTGGTCTCATCATTGTAACATATTAGCTTATCCACTAGCTTGATTCTCTCTCTGTTTGCTACAGTGGGTTATGGATCCTGGTTTGAACACGTGCAGGGGTTTTGGGAGCACCGAGTTGACTCCAACGTTCTCTTCTTGAAGTATGAAGACATGTACAAGGTAATGTCATCACTTTGGTCGTGGTCTGCTGATCCAAATACAGCAGTCTGTCTCCCGACCAACTGACCTTTAGATGTCGTTTTTATTTGTTTGAAATTGTTAATTTCATTAATCACTGGGTAGCTGTGTGATTAATCACGATTGGTCATGATTCTGAATGTTCTGTTGTCCCTGCTGTTCGCAGGATCTGGGGACAATGGTGGAACAGCTAGCCCACTTTCTGGGAGTGTCCTGTGATAAGGCTCAGCTGGAGTCTATGGTGGAGAGCTGCAACCAGCTCATCGAGCAGTGCTGTAAATCGGAAGCGTTATCGATCTGCAGGGGTCAGTGAAAGGATGTTCTAGTCTCTTTTTTGTAAGGAGACAATGTCAAAAAGGCAGTTTGTCAAAAAAATTCAATTTTTGTTAATTTTTGTTAATTTCAGTTAGGCATTTCTGCTACTTTTGGTGGTTTGAGCCCACCCAGGGTCTATATCCAGGTTGCTTTAGCTTTAACTTCCCATCTTTATCTTTAAACAAATACTTTAAAGATTAATTATAGTCACTGTTAGTAAATGCCTTAAAGTAAGGCCAACGTTTAATTGCTGTTTATCTGTGTGTTGTTCTTGCAGGTCGGGTTGGTCTTTGGAAGGATGTGTTCACGGTGTCTATGAATGAGAAATTTGACCTGGTGTATAAACAAAAGATGTTCAAATCTGACCTGACCTTTGACTTCTGTCTTTGAAAGGCCCTTGACCTGAACATGGGCCACTTCACTGCTGTTGACAACTGCACATGTTGTACTGTACATTCAAATCACTGCTAATTTTTAGGTCAGGTCTTCAGATGACACTGCGAGACTCCTTCCTCCCTGAATCCTGTCAATAGCACTCCACACTTTTTCAAGTAACTTCAATGACTCTGTTGATAGCCTAACTATACCCTGTGTGCTCCTACCTCTGCTGATTTTCACACCGCTGCCTGTGTTTGTATCTACTGTGTGTAGTAGCAGTTTTTGAAGGCTGATGGCAGTACCATTCTTCTGAGGTTCTTGTTAAATATATAGTATATTTATATGAATATCTACATTAAATGGTATTAATGATGCAATACTGCAACTTGACGGTACTTAAATGGTACAGACTAAAGCCCTGCATTGGGACTGGGATCCAGTGGGTTCCACAGGACCCGACTCAAATTTAGGGGTTGTTCACGTGCAGCCAGCGGGACTGGGCGCTAAAAAGTAGATTGACATAAAAGACAAAAAAGTAAAGGGATATGACTGGATTCTTTTTGAATTAAGTAAATTAGTACTGAAGTACAAGTGTCTCATTACGGCCCGGGACCAAATGACCTACGGACTGGCACCGGTCCCTGGACCGGGGGTTGGGACCCCTGCTATTGAGGGTCCAATGAACATTCATGTAGTTAGAACATTCAAACTCCATGCAGAAAGACTGAGAAATTTTAAAACCCTGAGAGTTTTCTTTAGTTTTATAAGCTATGATTGTTCATAATAATCTCACATTTCCTAAATCATTTATAGATTTTATATATTAATATTCACACATTGACTCGGTTTACATGTTGATGGCTGAGATATTTCTTAGATTTCTTTTTCCTTTTCTGCATTTATAAGAAATGTGTGTACACTATAACATCAAAAAGTGTATCCGGACAGGACACGATTGGACACAAATATTGCAAAAGTGGAGAGGACTGAGAGAAGTCAGAAATTCCACAAGGGGAGAATTAAAAAAAACTAGTCCCACGCAGGGCTCTAGTACTTCACACTGTACTTCAGATAGACTGCAGATTTATACTAAATATCCTTTGAGTAGGATTCAGAAGGGTTTGAATGAAATAAAAAACATGTATGTTTTGTTCACATTGCTTATACTGTACAGTCTCTCACTCTTTTGCTTTAGAACACGCCACGCGATGTGAGATTGCCTTTGCAACAGCAACAGTTTATCAGTCAAAAGTGGAAGGCTTCCACACAAGCTTTTTTTTGTTATTACCTGAAAGAGTTGTTGGGTTTTTATTTATATATTATTATATTTTATTTATATATCACAAATAATTACATAATTCTTTTTACTAGGGGTGTCAATATTACAATATAGGGACGATATCTGATATGCTGATATTGTCCAAACTTCCGATATCAACCAAAACCGATATAGGCCTGGTAATATTTGTGTATTTCTCTGCACAAACTACTGTATGAGTTGCTGACATCAGCATTCTGCCTACAATCCCGTGATTATTAAAAATCGATTAATTAAATGAGCTGCAATGCTGCCATCTAGTGACTTTCACTTTTATATACATTATCGAGGATAAACTTTTCTTATTTTCTTATTTTATTTATTTATAAGAATATACCTATTCTTACATATATTACATAATTATGTTAATATCGAGCCATGATATCGGTCGGCCGATATTATCGGACATCCCTAATTATTATTATTATTATTATTAGACTAACAACCAACCAACCAACCGAACTAACATCTAATTTTAATATAACATTGGTGTGAAAGGCTAATCCTCAACCATCAAACCATAATCTTTTAACAGGGAATAGAGTTTCTTTCTTTCTTTCTTTCTTTGTTTTTTTTTTTTTCATTCATTTGCCTTGCAGGTTCATATTCTTGTCCTGTGGCTTTTTTGTTTTGCACACTTTACAAAAATGTTGGGCCTTGTAAAAACTAAATTAGTGGTGAGATGTGTAATAAAATCTGTACAAACATCTTGGTCTGTGTGTGTACCTTAATTGCCTGAAGGCAACCGTAATTTGCTGAAGGGAACATCGTATGTATTACACATTTGAATCCAATACAAGTGATGTTTTCGAACCTGTTAAAAGACAAAGATGAAGGTTAAGGCTACGACAGCTGTCGGTCACTGCTGGATCCACTAGATCTGCATAAGCACTGAAAAATAATATTTGAAACGTATCACACAGACTACTTCAAGATTACTGTTTATACACATTTAGTCGTATTACTCCTGCTTGTTGTAGTATCTTTCATAGCCACGAGAGGGCACCGTCTACACATGTAACTTTACGGTTTTGCTGCATTGTAAAATGACATGTCTAAACCTTCAACAGGAGCAGGAGACACATTATTATCATCTGCAAATTTACCACGTAAAAGGACACAGGTAAGATTTTCACATTAGCCTGGTTGAACTGGTACAGTTTGAGCAGTACCACTGACCACAGGGTACCCACATCCGCAGCCACCATCACTATCATCACTATCATCAGCCACAGGGGCTCATTTGACTGACAATTCTGCACATCCGTTCTGTTTCTCCTCTATAACGTTGGTGTATATTTGCAAACAACTTTGTCAAAAAACCCAAAACTTAGTCAATAATAATTAACTTATTTGACTGCACTCTGGGACAAAGCCAAAGGGTCAGTAGAGAATCAAGAATCTTTGTCACATCACATTGATGTGGAATTTTTTGCTGTAGATACAATTTTTCTTTCGTTTTTTTTTGTTAAAAGACAAAGATGAAGGTTAAGGCAGCTGTCGGTCACTACTAGATCCACTAGATCTGCATAAGCAAATAATATTTGAAACGTATCACACAGACTACTTCAAGATTACTGTTTATACACATTTAGTCTTATTACGCCTGCTTGTTGTAGTATCTTTCATAGCCACGAGAGGGCACCGTCTACACATGTAACTTTACGGTTTTGCTGCATTGTAAAATGACATGTCTAAACCTTCAACAGGAGCAGGAGACACATTATTATCATCTGCAAATTTACCACGTAAAAGGACACAGGTAAGATTTTCACATTAGCCTGGTTGAACTGGTACAGTTTGAGCAGTACCACTGACCACAGGGTACCCACATCCGCAGCCACCATCACTATCATCACTATCATCAGCCACAGGGGCTCATTTGACTGACAATTCTGCACATCCGTTCTGTTTCTCCTCTATAACGTTGGTGTATATTTGCAAACAACTTTGTCAAAAAACCCAAAACTTAGTCAATAATAATTAACTTATTTGACTGCACTCTGGGACAAAGCCAAAGGGTCAGTAGAGAATCAAGAATCTTTGTCACATCACATTGATGTGGAATTTTTTGCTGTAGATACAATTTTTCTTTCGTTTTTTTTTACACTGACAGCCATTAGAGGGCACTCTAGTCTTGTGTTCCAGTATCTGCTACTCCATTTTCGTTATTTTCATACTGAGCTGCTAGAGGGCTCTGGTGCCTCTTACGACTTACTGTATATATGTTTTTTTCTTCATTATACATTTTTTGGCCGGTGCAACTTATACTCCGGAAAATACGGTCCAGAAAATACAGTAACTGTACAGCAGTTACTAACGCTAAATTCTACTGCAAATTTTGAGTCGACTTTCGTGGGAATGAACATGTGTTTAATCCTCAATTCATTCTGATTCAGAGGCCTGTTTGTGGCATCTACAAATTGTCTCCCGCCACTGGAGAAACTACTTCAAGGAGAAAATCCATTTTTATTTTATTCAAATTTTGCTTTTGTAATATAGTGATTGCACTGTTTTATATATGATATTGCTTCACTTGGCCTTGGCCAAGTCTTTCATAGAAAGTACATTTGATTGAAAATTAGATTTAAATATACAATGAAACAAACCTGAAACAAAGGTTTAGAGCAGATACTATCAACAGTGTGTCAAAAAGGACCTGTCAGCTTGGAGGGGATCACTTTTGCCCACAGTGTGGTCAGGCTGTCTAAGACGAGAGAGAGTTAATTGCTTTTTAAAACAATAAGCCCTGAAGTGAAATCCATTTCAGAAGAGCAGTTCAACTTTTATGAAAAGTCTCTGGAGAACTGTGAGTGACAGGTTCATTTTAAGTAGCTTAATTGATTTAACAACTTCCTCTCTCACCTTCATACATTGGCTTATTTTTAATACTCCTGTTATGTCAATGTGTCAAGGAGAGATCAAGCCATGTGCTATATAAACTATACCATTATTTATAAACCTTATATCAGTTTTATGAAGGCACAAAACTATACTAGGATTTATACTTACTGATGAAATGAACTCATTATAATTCCTCAGTCCGTTCTGGTTCCGAGGCCTGTTTGTGGCATCAAGCAATTGTATCATTACATCAGTACAACCACTATTGATAGGACTTCACTCGCTGTCAGTCAAACCGTAGTTGGCCATCTCGCCATTTGAGCATCTAACGTTGCTCCTTGATAACAGACTAGATTAACATGCAGCTTTTGAAATCAGAGAATATCGGAGAATATCCCTCACGGACGACCACACTTTCTGTCCCGGCCGTTATGAGGGAGCAGGAACCCGGTGTCCATCCACAAGATTGGCTTCCTTCTCACTATTTGAGAAGTACTGTATTAAAGGAATACACGGTCACATTCCATCAGTGTTAACTTTATCTAAACAGGCAGTTTGAATATTAGCGATTGTTGTACGGAATAATTAAGTGAGAGACTTGCTTTCAGTAGGAAAGTCCTCCTTTATTACCAAATATACAGTTTGGCTCTACACATGCACACCCAGTGAACAGCACAGGGGCTAACAAGCACAAAACTAACAAGGCCCACGTTTTTTTTTTCCAACACAACCACACGGGGCAGTGCAGCCAAGGCTGCCATTCTGATCGCACTACATGAAGTATTTACTTTGTTAGCAAAAATTAGGTTTTTTTTCTTTAAGACTTAGACAAGCAGATAAGATACATACAGATCTACAGAAATAAAGAACACATATGTACAATCATCCTTCGCAAATAAAAGTGAAGAATATTTAGAGCCGTGTTTCCCGACATTTTTTGAGTCCTGATGCATACATTTACATTACAAAAATCCCATGGTGCACCATCAAATCAAAATGAAAAGAAACATGGAGATCCTCAACAGCTCGGAGTCTTTATCTTTATCTAGTTTTGGTATCCATCTGCTGCCACACAGTAGAAGAGCATTTAATTGTTCTGCCTTTCGCCTTCGCACAGTCAAACGACAGTGCGCACCCTCACTTCCTGCTCAGCTTTCATAACTGTATGTTAGTGTTCTTTATTTCAGTCATAATTCTGTCATTTTATGAAACCCACAGAATAGAATTTTCATGATTAGATCTGCTGCCTTAACACGAGTTTGGATCTCTCACACAGCGAGAGAAATCCATCTACATATATGTATATACTCAAAATTCACAATGAAGCATTAAGGAAGAGAAGACAAGAAATACAATTTACATAAATGGGGAAATAGTACTAAAGCTGAGGGTAAAAAGTTAGATTGTTGGATGGTCTTGA